GTCACGTGCCACACGGAGGGTGGCAGAGCAGAAGCGGGAAGGAATCCGGCCTTTGGGGACTGTCCCCCCGAACCTCCCACCTTCCACTGTGCGTGAGTCTCTGTTACGTGCAGCTAAATGGATTTCTTTTCTCTTTTAAATGTGGTTTTAGTGATTTTCTAGAGAGTGGAAGGGAGAGAGAGAGAGAAACATCGATGTGAGAGAGAAACATGGATCGCCTGCCGCCTGCATGTTCCCCACTGGGGATCAAGCACGAAACCCGGGCATGTGTCCTGACCAGGAATCGAACCAGGACCTCTCAATCCATGGGACGATGCTCAACTCACTGAGCCACACCGGCCGGGCAGCTCAAAGAATTTCTAACTGCCATTTTGACAAATAAAATCAAGTAGCACCTGAATTGTACTTGACAAATGTCATTGACTAAGCAAGTGCTTGAAAGAGATGTGAGCTTATTCAATGAGATGGCACATGCTTGGTGCCCCTCCCGGACGCAGGAGGCACTCGGCACAAGTGAATGTCATTGCCACCTTCCTGTGTCAGACAGGCGGGCGGGGGCGGCGGGAGGGAAGGGAAACACCCTCGGGCCCAGAGCCAGGATGGGTGGAAGGTGAAAGCAGGTGAGCTAGGGGCCTGCCCGCTGACGAGCTGGCCCATTCCCGGTCAGCGGCGGCCGCCAGGGCGCACAGGGAGGCTTCTGCTCACCCCGGAGCCGGGCCAGGCGCTGACAGAGGGAATTGGTTTAAGGGCCTGTCTTCCTGGTTCTTGGCTGAAGGCTGCTACCAGTCCAGTTGGCCAAGATGAAAGAGTAAATGGAATGTCGTGAGGTTTTCAAAATCTGCGCTTTCGGCACCAAATTTATTTTTTTAAGGGTCTAAAAGATTTTTTTTTTTTTAAGCCCCAGGACAGGTTTTGGCTTGGGGTGAAAAATTGGAAGGAAGGTGGATAAATGAACAAACAAAAATCAACCCAATAAAACATAATGATTTCGGGACCACCTACATAGCTGTGGGGGTTATTTATTTTTCTTTTATAGAATGAAGTTGCCATGGTTTATGATCCAGGATTCAATAATTCCATGTGACCCCTTCCCTAGGTCCCCAAGCCCCTCTGAGCAGGGCCGATGAGAGAAAAGACTTAGAGTCAGTCTAGTCCCAGATTCTTCCACCTCTGTTTGTATCCTGCCAGAGACAGGGAGCTCACTCCCTATTCACATGGGCCATTTCGTCTTTGGACAGTTCCGCCAATTTGCCAAATTAAAATGTTAGTGGCGAAAAAAAAAACGGCACCAGGTGTTAACCTCGGTTCAGCCACCTCGGTTCTTGAGTTCTGGCTGCGAGGAGAATTCAGAGCCAAGACTCAAATGATAAGAGAAAGTTTATTTAGAAAGTCACAGACGTAGAAGTGAGCTGTAGAAGAAATGGGCTCTGGGAACAAGTTGCAGCAAAAGAAGGGCCCTTGGAGCTTAGGAGAGAGAGAGGACATGGAGAGGGGAGGAGGCATGGGCTGCTCCGTGGCGAGTGCTGGGTCCTCTGTCCTGAGGGATTTATCTGAGTTCTCAAGGGAGGATCGCAGTAGGATAGTCATCGGCTTTCCAGGTGTCTCCTCCGCACTGTGGTTTCCACTGATTGGTTGTTGCCAGGGGTGGGGGTGTCATCGGGCAATGCAGCTGGTCTTGATGTCAGCCATGGCTTCCCTGTCCGATTCTGCTGCTTCTCTGGGTCTGGAGCTGAAACACAGCTGCGGCCTAGATATCACCTCCAGGGCTCAATGCTTCAGGGAGTAGTCCTGAGAGGGCTTGTAGTTTTGCTCACTGCTAGGCATCCGGGGTTCTCCGCCCTGGTGGCCCCCTGCACCTGGGCCATCGTTCCCACTCTGCTCATGCCTGTCTAAGTGCTGACCACAATAAGGTCATTTACTGTGCTTGGTAGAAACCTGTGTCCCTGGGACACCCCCGCCTCCGGCAGCTCTGCACTGGGAAACAAAGGGAGTGACCATCTGCAGCAGCTGAATGCGCGTGCCAAGCACTGAGCACGTCTCAAGTTTGACCTCATTTCATCCACAGAACCACCCTGTGGAGGAGACACTGTTATTATCACCCTTCTGTGGAGGAGGACACGGTTGCTCAGAGAGGCTCAACCACCTGCCCAGCATCACACAGCTGAGAAGGAGCTGAGCTGGGATTCCAACCCAGGCATGTTCGAGTCCCTTCTCAACTCGGACATCACGCTGCCTCCTAGAAGAGCACATATTTGCGTATTTAAAGACCGCTCTTGCCCTGGCCGGTTTGGCTCAGCGGTTAGAGCGTCAGCCCCCAGACCAGAGAGTCCCGGGTTCGGTTCCCGCCTGCTAAGGGCACGTACCTCAGTTGCAGTTTGTCCCCGGCCCCTGTTGGGGTCATGTGACTGGCAACCAGTCAATGTATCTCTCTCACGTCGATGTTTCTCCCTCTCTCCCTCCCGCTCTATCTGAAGATAAATGCAAAAATGTCTTCGGGTGAGGATTAAAAAAATAAATAAAGTAAAGACAGCTCTCACAACCCCCGGCTCTTCCTCTTTCCACTCCAAACCAAACCAAACCTTCCTGTTCTTTCAACGACTGCTGGCGATAGATGTGGGAATAGACCTGTGGCCGTGTACGATGAAAGGAACTTAACACAGGCATCTGCTGTGACACCAGGAAAGGTTTTCTCCCCTGATGAAAGGGAGCATGGGGGGAAGACGTCCTTCCATCCTGTCCTTCCTGTGTCAGTGTGTGTGAACAGCTGGTGGCCTGACACTGGCCAGATGAGGGGCAGAGGTTTGCAGAGATGTCCCCGGGGTGTCCTGAGACCACTGAGCTGCTGTCCCGGAATCATCTCCCTCCACACCTATGTTGAGATAGCTGGATGTCTTCAGATGCTTCTCCCACTGGACCAAGTACCAGAATCCCCCAGAGAAATGTTAACACACAGGTGCTGGGCGACCTCCGGAGGCTCTGACTCAGCAGCTCTGGGCTGGGGCCCAAGAATCTGCATTTCTATCGCGTCCTGGGGCCCCCTTCCATGGGGTTTATTACCTTCAGCTAAAAGCGCTCCAACTGGAGCAAAGAGACACCATCACTTGCGCATGCGCTTTGAGCACCTTTATCTACAGCTCACCTAATTTAATCTTGACACAGCTATGAGGTGGCTGTGATACATTTCCATTGTATAGATGAGCCTGAGGCCCGAAGAAGCAAGTCGGCTTGTCCCAGGTCCCACAGCTGGTAGGAGGACCCCCAGGTCTGTGTTCCCTGTCCCTGGGTCGCCGTGTTGGAGCACACTGCCAGTGGGTCCCCAACAGTGTGGTTGGGGCTCGAGGCACCACAGCATTGAACGTGACGTGACACAACCCTCGCAGGTCTTTGCTCATCTCAGATGAGCTCTGCAAAAAGGAAGCGGCAGCCCCTCTCTTCCTTACCCCTGCCGCCCGCAGCGGCCATGGCCACTTGTACATGCTGGAGGTCTGGGGACGAGGAGCTGGGGCACAGACTGGCATTCCAGGAACCAGAACACAGGAAGGCCGAGGAAGGCTGCAGGTTCTGAGGGAGGAGGGCTGGACAGGGAGGCTCTCCAACGCCCTGGGGAGCTGCCAGAGAGGGCCTTTCTGTGAACTTGGCAATGCCAGAAACCAGTGTTTCCCAAACACCAGTCCTTATTATCCAGTCTCTGTGATTCGGGCAATCCAGCCACACAACTGGTTACCTACTTTTTCAAAATTACCATCTAAGAAGCCTTATCCGTGTTTATGAAAGGGGAAGGCTCTCCGCTGTCAGCGAAGGAGGGACTGTGAAAGCGAAGGCAGAGGCATTGCTGGTGAGAGAAGGGTCAGCCAGGGCCCCGGCATCACCTGGGGGCTACAGTGCGCTGGCACACATGGGCACACGTGACAGCCATCCCATGAAAAGGGGTCGATGCCTGGGAAGAAGGTGACTGTCATGGACTGCGTCGTGTCCTCCCCCCGAGTTCACATGTTAAAGCCCTAACCCCCAATCTGACTGTATTTGCAGATGGGTCTTTAAGGAGGTAATTAAGGCTAAATAGGGTCATAAGGGCAGGACCCTGATCCAGTAGAACTGGTGTCCTTACAAGAGACACCAGGGATGCACTCAGAGAGAAAAGAAATACAGGGGAGAAGGTGGCCATCTACAAGCCAAGGAGAGAGGCCTCGGGGGAAACCAGCCCCGCCGGCATCTTGACTCTAGACTCCCAGCCTCCAGAACTGGGAGAAATAAAACTCTGCGGTTTAAGCCCCCACGTCTGTGGTCTTTCGTTCTGGCAGCCCCAGCTGATGAAGACAGTGACTGTGGCCCTGGCCGGCTTGGCTCAGCGGTTAGAGCGTCGGCTTGAGGTCCAGAGAGACCCGGGTTCGGTTCCCGCTAAGGGCATGTACCTCGGTTACAGTTTGTCCCCGGCCCTGGTTGGTCGTGCGGGTGGCAGCCACTCGATGTGTCCCTTTCACGTCGACGTTTCTCTCTCTCTGTCTCTTCCTCTCTTCTCCCTCCCACTCTATCTGAACAAAAAATGGAAAAATGTCCTCGGGTGAGGATAACAAAAAAAAAGACAGTGACGGAATGAGGTTGAGCCTGTCACCACTCACCACTCAGAGTAGGACGAGGGGACCAGCCAAGCCAGCGTCACCAGGAGCTCCTAGAAACACAGATGCCGAGGCCCCGCTGCACACCTGCTGGACCAGAATCCGCATTTCGACAAGCCCCTCCCCCATGCGATGTCGCACACTTTAAATGACATCTTTTCCTGCTCATCAGGCGGAGGTCTAATTACAGCAGAGTAATTAGCATCTTTGTGCCTGCCGGAGACATCCCTTCCCGGTAGGAGCCCAGGCAACAAAATAGGTAACCACCTGCAGGGAGCTTCCAACACTGTATTTCACCCGCTGTTCAGCTGCGTCCATAAAAGATACGCCACAGAAATGTTTTAGAAATCAAATCAGTTTTATTGAAACAACAGCAATGCGGTCCCTGTTCATGCAAAGCACAAAAAAAACCTTTTTTTTTTTGTTTTGTTTTAACAATAAAGGTTTGTACACAGGAAGTAGTAAAATACATAATTTTTCATAGAAAAAAAGCACACATGTAAGCTGCGGGCTGAGTGAGCCTACAGACAATATGAAGTTTCAGGACACGTGGGACAAAAATCTGGAGGAAACCGAAACTTCTCATTTTGGGGGGCAGGAGACTCAGAAACACCGTTGGCCTGATTCACCCTCTCTTTTGTGTTGAACACAAAATTAGAGGTGGTCCCTGACTCCAAGGGCTTATCATTCGTAGTCTTAGTTTTCGTTTTCAGAAGAAAAATGGTTCCAGTTTCAAAATGTTCACGAGGAGGAAAAAGACACAAGATCTGGCTCTGGGCGAGGAGTTTCTACGCCGTTGGTGCCAAGGGCCCACTTACTGAGGATCCGGGAGCAGGACTTTATAAACGGTGGGGTCTACTCGCTGTGGAGGTTTCAGATTCTGCCTCGGGCTTCCAAGGCAAACCCACTGAAATTCCCCTGGGCTGTCACAAATGCTAAGGGCCCAGACAGAGCATCCACGGCCACAAAGGGCAGTGACAAGCAGGACAGCAGCAGAGTGTGTAGTATCCAAAAGTTTCCAAGTACTCAGATTGTTCCAGACACAACATCTGACAGGCTGACCAAATTCTTTCACTCTGACATTTGGGGTTGAATAGTCAGAACCTATGAATTACTACAAGCCCACAATGCACGCAGCAAAAACACGGTCCCACTAATTTCAGCTCTGTCAGGAGAAGAGCTTATACAAATCCCCGAAAGGGGGGAGGGGAGTAGCTCTCTACCTTCAGCTTTTGCATTAATTAAGAATGCACTCCACAATGCACCCATTTTTTTTTTTGCCCTCCCCCCTTTCCCCCGGTGATTCTTTTTGCCTTTGAAATAGTTTGATGGGGAGTGAAATAAAATTTGAAACTGGAGTGCACAAAAGTGATCGACTGGCCAGCCTGGTGCTGGAGGGTGGAATTTTACCTTCTGCAAAGAAACGCTATTTACAAAAGGGTATTTTATTTCGCTGTGGGTTTTGGTCTGGGCTTCTGAAGAACTTTTATAAAGTGATGGAAGCCAGAGAGCACCGCTCTCCCTGGAGCCTCGGGAACATTTGGCAAGAGCCACTCCACAAAAACAGGAAGAGAAATCCTTCTAGAGTGTTACTCTCTCTTGTGGTTGTCACGCCGCAGGACGATTTCATAACCACGGGCTGTTCCTCTTCCCAGAGCTGCTAACCTCGGCGAAGAAGGCACTAAGGAATCCATTCCTCCCACTGCTCAAAAACAGGTCATCCGACAGAAGGGGAATCTGCACGTTTAATTGTCATTTTTTCAAAAAGCAGCAACCAAACAGCCCTTCTTTGGCTGTTCTTAGACATCTCAGCGAAACCAACAGAGACGAGGAGTTTTTTTAAACAGTGGGCTTCAAACAGAATCGCTTGCAAAGCAAAGACCCCGGGGTGAACTATGACACGACTGGGCTGGGCTGGCGTGTGAGCCACAATGAGTAAGGGGTAAAGACAGGATCCCGGTTCATTAGTCCTCAAGGAGACCAAACGTCACGGCAGTAAACAGACGGCCACGTGGACGAAGGGAAGGACACAGACAAGATAAATCTCTGGAGTTACTACCGAACTCTAAATAAACCAGCACCGCTGTGTGTAGAACCAGCCTGCTCAAGGCAGGACGCCAGCCCTCTGTTCTGGCCCATTTGTCTGACCAGCAAACATTAAACTCATTTTTCGCCCTTGGTAGAAACGGACTGTGTTTTTACATTTTTTTTTTTAAATAACTACCTTCTACCCCATTCCTGGAACCCCCCCGGGCGTGTGCTCAGTGTGTCTCGTCCTGCACCCCGAAAGCCTCACCCTGTGATCCCTGAGTCCGGTGCTCTCTCCGCGGGTTTGGCGTCCTCTCCCCCCATGAAAGAACACACGGGACGGACCATCTTGGGTGGCTGTCTGTGCAGAGGGGGCACCAGATGGAGACCGCCAGGCCGCGGCAGGGCGTCACCGGTGGTTCAGCCAGGCCCCGGAGGAAGCTGCTGCTCCACGGTGCAGAGAGGAGACACGGGCACGAAGGGCGTGACGTCGAACGCCACTCAAAGGGAGCTGCCTGCCACTCCGTATTCCCAGCCCACCCCCAAATTATAAAATAGAAATACAAAGCAAAACCCAGAAGCCCTCTGGAAGACCCCCCCTTCTCCGCAGCACTGAAGTTCACGGCCTGACAGCGAAGATCCGGAAGGCCTTCCCGTCTTGAGGGGTCCTCAGGCTGTGAAAGAAGGGAGAGGGCAGGTTACCTGCAGAAGGAGAGTTTCTACCGGGACTGGAGCCGGGAAGGGCGAGCCGGGTGCCCCTCGTGTCCTCGTGGTGGAAGAGCCATGGCCCCGGGACACTTCCCCACAGCTGCTGGAAACGGAGTCTGCCCCAGCCAGGGACAGCTGGCAAATTCCATTCTCTTTGCCTGGGTCTGAATCTAGGTCAGGGTTGTTAAGTTATTTTCTTTTAACTCTGGGATTTACTGGCCCCAGTCTGTCTGAATTGAATTCAGCCTCCAGGACTTCTGCCTGGTTTTTGCTAACACCTGTCAACCCAAATAGTGGCCATCTGGCTGACCGATTAAGAAGATGGCATTCTAGCAGCAATACATGTGCTGCTGTTATTAAAATGGGCATACCAGGTTATTAAAAGGGGCACACACTCCGATTTTATGCTGAGCACTGTGCATACGCCTTTTTACCTTCCTCCCCAGGTAGGTACCATTAAGTATCCCATTTTGCAGGTGAGGAGATCATGCAATTATCTCCACAATCCAGTTTTAAATCATTACAATCATCCCCACCCCCACCCCATCCCCGCCAAAAAAGATCCTGCCTGCCCACTTATAATCAGTTCCCCTCCTCCCAGGTCCTGACAACTTCGGTCTCTACGGGTTTGCCTGTTCTAGACATTCCGTGTAAACGGACCTCTACACTATGGCCTTTGGTGGCTGGCTTATTTCACCTAGCATAAAGATTTTGAGGTTCATCCATGTTGTAGCATGATCAGTACTTCATTCCGTTTTACTGCCAAATAATATTCTATTATTTGAATATACCACATTTTATTTATCCATTCTTCAGTTGATGGACATTTAGATTCTTTCCACGTTTGGCTATTAGAAATAAAGCTATGAACATTGGTGTACAAGTGTTTGTGTGGGCATTTATTTTCTGTTCTTTTGGGTGGATTGCTAGGTGCACAAGTGCTGGGGTGTATGTTAAATGGCCTATTCAATTTCTTTAAAAACTCCCAAGCAGCCCTGGCCGGTTTGGCTCAGCGGTTGGAGTATTGGCCTGCGGACCAGAGAGTTCCGGGTTCGGTTCCCGCTAGGGGCACATACCAAAAAAAAAAAAAAAAAAACCTCCCAAACTGTTTTCCACAGAGGCTGCGCCAGTCTACATTCCCACCAGCAATTCACGGGGGGCTCCCATGTCTTCATGGCCTCGCCAACATTTGTCATTTCCTGTCTTAAGCCATTGTTGGTGGCTTTCTGTACATCGACAGCTTTCTCGAGCTTTTTATTCAACTGCATAGTATTCTATTTTATGAAAGTATTATACTATAGTTAACTGAGTTCTTTTCAATAGATGTTTCACTATTTCTAATCTTTTTGTTTTGGCAAACAATGGAGAACAACTTTGACCGTGACTTCTCGCAAGTGTAGGAGTGTGCCTGTGGACCAGCTCCTAGAGGTGACACTGTTGGATCAAAAGGTGTGGGCATTCATCATTTGGGCAGCTCGCCAAATGCCCTCCATCCAGGCTGTGCCAGTTGACAGCCCCCCTCAACCATGCACGAGGCGGCCTCTGTAACCCGCAGGCTTGCCGGCACACAAACCACCAGCTTATGTTCTCACCGATCGAAACTAGGCAGTGGCATCCGACTATAGTTTTTGTTTTTTGGTACGTGCCCCTAGCAGGAACCGAACACAGGACTCTCTGGTCCGCAGGCCAACACTCCAACCGCTGAGCCAAACAGGCCAGGGCGTGGCTATGGTTTTAATTTGCATTTGGCTCATTATGAATGAGTTTGAGCGAAAGCCCAGCCACGATATAAGCGTGATTTCCTTAGCGTGTCCCCTCCACATTGGTTTTGAAACTGCTGGACCAGACAGACGGTCTTGCCCTCTCAGATGGCGCTATCAGCTCGGTAATCCTCGGGGAACAGCTGCTGGGAACGCCTACGTTCCCCCTCCCCCATGGCAGCCTCAGACTTCTGGCTACCCTGGGACTGAACTTCTGAATGTGGATCAGATAGGAGCCCTTGGCGAGACGGGGATGTGCAGAAAGGCCAAGAGCCCAGAAACAGCAGGATGCTGGCCCTGTGGCCTCGGGGCCAGCTGTCCCCACCGGGCCACGCGGAGGGAGGGAGGGAGTGGCCGTGCTGGGGCTGGGGTTACCCCGGCTGCCCTGCTGGTATCTGGAGAGCTCAGATTCCAGGGCCCTCGTCAGGCCTCTGGGCTATAAGATTTCCCCGGATTCTTTGCCCAAATTAATAGTCTGGGAGAACCACCCAGAGCCACATGGCACTTGGCGGGCAAAGCACTCCAGGGAAAATACAGGGTTTGGGTCTCCTCTGACTGCTACTGCAAATTCTACGGGTGGGGCAGCGGGCTCTCCCACCCCCAGGGTCCCAAACAACCCAGGGACACGGGGCCATTCAGGCTGTCATCCAGGTACCCCAGGGTACCTGGACATCTTGCCTAGACCCACGAAGCAACCCCACTGAACAGCTCGTCCACCTCAGAGGCAAGAGCAGACCCTCTGAACCGGGGGTCTATTAACGCACCAAATGCCGCACTGACGCTGCTGGAGGTGTCGATGTGACAGGGAGGGACGTCGGCCCATGCACTGCCTCAGGCAAAGAATCCCCCCCCCCCCGCTTTGGGTTGCTCAAAACACCTGTAGTGGGTCTATTGGTTCACGCCTCAAATATTTACCAAGTACTGTCCCTCTAGGTAAGTTGATGGTTGTGTAAGTTTGAGACGAGTATGATTTGAGAAACTATAAAACAACCCGTTTTTCTAACTCTCGCCCTCTGGTTGGTTTCTGCGTTGGTCTATAGCTCCCATACGTACATAAGGGGTGTGCCCACGGGCACAGCACTTCTGGGCAGTTTTCATAAAAGGCATTGAACAGTTTTAATAAAGGGCATTAAACAGTTTTCATCAAGGGTATTAAAAATCCCTCAATCAGGTCTGAACAAACTGCTGAGCTCAGCCATCTGTCTGTCATTCGACCAGTGTTTACTGAGCACCTACTAGGCACCGGGTACTGGGTGGGCGTGGGGGGCCCGGGGTTAACAGAACGAATGCCCTCATGGAGCTTACAGTCTGGAGGTGGGAGGTAAGCAGCTAAATACGTGTACACAGTACTTTCAGAGAGTGGTGGATCCGGGAGGAAAATAAAATCCAGGGCAACGGGATGGCATCAGATCCGGGCAGAGGAAGCCACCGTAGACTCGGTGGTAGAAGGCGGCTTCCTCGGGGAGGTGGCATTTGTGCGTAGGCCTGAACGACAAGGGGGACCCAGCCGCAGGAATATGCAGGAGCTGAGAGTGTCCGGGGTTGGATGCAGCATGAGCAAAGGCCCGAGGTGCGACTTTGGCACGTTCCGGGAACAGAGAGAAGGCCAATGAGGTGAAGTGCTACACTGAGGGGGAGAAGGCTCCAAGGCAGGGTGCAGACGTGGGCAGGGCTGGCAGCAGGCGTGACCTTGCATGGTAAGGGGAGGCAACTTTTTTTTTTTAATCCTCACCGGAGGATATTTTTCCACTTATCTTCACATAGAATGGGAGGGAGGGAGAGAGAGGGAGAGAGGAAGAGAGAGAGAAAATCAACATGAGAGACACATCCACGCCTCCAGCATGACCTTGACCAGGGCCGGGGACGAGCCACAACCGAGGTATGTGCCCTTGGTCGGAATTGAACCCGAGAGTCACTGCTCCACGGGCCGACGCTCTAACCGCTGAGCCAAACCGGCCAGGGCAAGGGAGGTGATTTTGTTCTCATTGCAGTGGGAAGCCACTGGGGGCAGGGTTTAAACAGGAGAGAGACAGACTGTGCATTATATAAAGAGATCAATTTGGTAGCCACGGCTCTTCTCCCAGAAGGATGTCACCTACGAAAGGGTTGGGCAAGTACGTGGGCTTGTGCAAAGACGTTATTTGCAGTGTTGTTTATTACAGCAAATAAAAGAAAAGAGGAAACAACACGGATGCCCATCGACTGGGTAAAGAAATAATGGTCTGTCCACACAAGGAAATCGTGTTTGGTCGCTGAAATGATGGTGTGGCCACATCGAACCTGACTTGGAAAGACGTTCACGACCTGTGGCTGGCTGAAAAAAACAATTAATAGAACAATACAGAGAGTATGATCCCTCTTTATAAAAAAATAAAATAGCCCTGGCCAGTTTGGCTCAGCGGTTGGAGCGTCAGCCTGCGGTCCGGAGAGACCGGGGTTCGGTTCCCGCTAAGGGCACGTGCTTCGGTTGCAGTTTGTCCCCGGCCCTGGTTGGTCGTGCGGGTGGCGGCCACTTGATGTGTCCCTTCACGTCGATGTTTCTCCCTTCCTCTCTCTCCCTCCCACTCTATCTGTACAAAAAATGGAAAAATATCCTCGGGTGAGGATTAAATAAATAAATAAATAAAATAAAAAATAAGGTGTTTGTGTGTAATGCGGAAGAATTTGGAAGGAAACGTACCAGAATGTATAGTGGTTTCTTCCGGGTGTTGGAGTTTCAGTGACAGTGATTTCTTAAAACTAGTTGCAGACTTTTTTGACGTTTCTCTAACCTTATTTTTAAAAGAAGGAAGGAGGGGGAAGGGAGAGAAAGAAAAAAGAAAGGAAGAGAGGCAGGGAGGAAGGGTGGGAGCAAGAGGGAGGGAAAACAACACAGAAATTCCCCGGCAGAACTTGGGAAGAAATGCACTGGCCTGGGAAGCTTCAGGGAAGTTCCCTTTGGCTGACTCAGTTCATGGGAACCTCTGATCTACGTGATGAACTGGGACAGGGTGCTCTGGGCAAGTGTCTGTAGCCTCAGGTGCTGTCCCAGCTCAGCCCTGGTTAATCATTCCAACTTCCTGATGGCCAGTCACCCTGCCCCTGGTGCTCACACTCACCTCTGCGCCAGCAGCCGCCTCACCCATCTGTTCCTTACAGTGACCTCACAGGATCTCTAAGGTTCTTGCTGAGGGGACCCAAGGCTCTGAGGGGTGACATGATATGCTCCAGATGGAATCCCTAGTCCAGGCGCAGCTCGGATGTGGACTCAGGAGGTGGGCTCTCTTTCTAACCATTATCCTAAACGGACGAGCTGTGGCCACACCATCCCTGAGGATGTCACTGGCTAACCCAGATTGCAGGGGGGGCTCCGATGCTGGGAGCCCCTCGGGAGGCGGGGCCCGCAGGTCCCCGAGGAGCTGCAAAGCTAGGGCTGCATCCTGGAGGCTCCCCCTGCCAGGGAGAAGTACCCAGGGAGAAACTGACTGCCACGTGGTACCACACAACACAGACTAAACAGAGAAGACAGCTGGCCGTTCCGGGAGCAGGGTGACCTGTCCCGGGGGGACCAAGGAGTTGTCCATGTCATTGTTGGTATATTTCCAAACCTCCTTGTGAAATCTGTCTTAAAAAATGGTCCTGGTCTAAGAAAAAACCCTGAACTGATATTGATCCAGACGACCAGCTTCTTCCTGAGAATATTTGCACAGAGCCCAGTTCCAACACCGGAAGCTCCCTGACACCCTTCCCCTCCTCTGCTACCCTCCACGGCCCGTGTGAGAGCAAGAGGGTGCCTGTCCCAATTCTGCACGGTCACCTTTCAAAACTTTCAGGACATCCTCTTCTAGAACAAGATCATTGCCTAAAGCAATACCTCTCTGAAGCAGAACCAACGTCCGGCTGTGCTGACAGTTCCGTTCCGGGAGTTTGGTTCGTGTGTTTGGTTGGCTGAAGGAGTCCCTACATTCAGAATGAAGTCTGCTGTTTGGGCTGCACACCGCCAGTGCCCCCACATCTCCCGGGAACTGACTGTGACCACTCTGGGGTCCCAGCAGACATTGGGGATGGAGCTACCCCCTGACCTCAGGTTGATTCCCACAGTCCCTATGGGAACAGGCTCTGGGGACATTTCTCAGCCCTGGGCTCTGTGCTGAGGTCCCATCTGCACAAGGGGAAGATGGGGGCAGGGGGTGGGTGGACGGCCGCACCAGAGATGTCCACACATCTGTAGCAGCCACGTCACCACAGAGGGGCCTCTGGACAGTAAGACAGGGTCCTGCTTGACGTGCTCAGCTCCCTGTACCTCCCTCTATAACAGTAACACCCAGTACCCACTACTGCAGTCACTTCTACACTTCTCCGTCCCCCAACTAGGTGATAAGGCCAGGAGGGCAGAGGTCAGGCCGGGTTCCCTGCTGGGCCCGGAGCCCGGGACATTGTAAGGGCTCAGCAAGTGCAAGGCGTCTGACGGGTGAGAGCATGACGGAGGGGCGGGTGCGAGGAAGAAAGAATGGATTCCCGTCAGGTGCCCCTTCTGTGTCCTGAAAGATAATCTACGTAGGCGCTTTCTGATGACCAAGCTCCCTGACCCTGTGTGAAATGAGCCGTAGCATCTTGAGGTTTGCCACGGATCTGAGAAGTTACATCACAGGAAGAAGAAACACGGATTTCATCGGACACTTACTATGGGCCACCAGTAAGTGCTTTGCACATACTGTCTCATTTCATCGTCACGGCAACCATTTGATGGAGGAGGAACCGAGGCTCGGGGAGACCGCCTACCCAAGGGTTCCAACGCCATCGGCCCTAGGTGCCCTCCTGGCCTAGCCTCTTCCCTCTGTCTGTGCCAGGTGGGCCCTGGCATCCCAGTGCCGTGGACCCCAGCACAGGTCCTGGCACACTATAGGTAGTAAATGAATGACTCTTAATGGCAAAATGTTAGGATCACGTACAGTGTTGACTGTGTGTGCCAGGGACACGGTGACCATCCATCACCCTTACAGTAGTGGCTGTCATCCTTCAGGGTGCGTCAAGCCCCCTGGGGGGAGCGTCACACACAGCCCGCTGAGCCCACTCCTGGAGTTCCGGGTTCAGCAGGTCTGAGGTGGGCCCAAGGCTCTGCTTTTCTAACAAGCTCCTGGTGGACTGAGATGCTGCAGCCTGGGGAGCCCACGTTGAGATCCCCCAAACTGTACCCCCACTCGGGGGAAGTGCTATCATTTTCCCCTTTATAGGTGAGGAAACCGAGGCACAGAAAGGTGGAGTAACACACCCAAGCGTCATCACAGACTCCAGCCTCAGGACGCGGGGGAAGAGCCCAGGAAGGAAGGGGAGCAGAGTCCGCACGATGGGGGCTGACGCCTTTCTGAACAGCACAGCGGGCTTCAGCCACGCTGGCCCGGGAACGGCTGCCTGGGACAGACTCCTAGGAACAGTGGCAATTTAGGTGGTCCCTGGGAAGACAGAAAGAATGACGGGCCTTCCTGGGGTGGCCTGTCACAGTGGGAAAGAGCCAATTCCAGGACGCCCTCTCGGTCCCCTGTTTTCCCCAGACACCCACCTGTGGGGGCCGCACAATAAACCCTTGTCGCAGCCCTGGAGAGCTGCTGAGATGTCCCCAAGGACAGTACACGCAGAGAACAAAGGCCGACCTACCACAACCGTTGCCCTTAAAGAGCTCAATAGATGGGTGTCCTGGGATTTCTTTCCAGCCTGGCCAGGAAATTCCACCTCATCAGCTACTTCATTTCCCTCCCATTAAATCCATGGAATTTCCCTTCATTAAGCTTTTCCCGAACAAAGGTTGCAAACGTTGAGGGAGAAATTGCTCGAGCAGTTCGCTCTCGCAGTTCCGGGCCGAGGGCCGTGACCACGCAGCGGCCCCTGGGGAGAAATGCATGTGACGTGCGTCACTGGGTTCTGCAAGGGCTTCACATCCAGCACCAGCCGGAAGCTCAGAATGCTCCCGGGGGACGGGACGGTGGGGCCAGGCACCACGTTCCCCGGAGCTTCAAGGGGCCTTCGTGCCTTTTGTAGTCTTGATTTTAGATGCCTTTTCTAAAGAGGGCCCCTCCGATGTAGTCTTCAGCATTTCCCTCTGTTATGAGCTGAAATGTACCCCCACCCCAGTTCACCTAGTGCCGTCCCAGGCCCCAGGACCCTCAGAATGCGACTGTGCTTAGACGTAGGGCTTCTAAAGACGCAAATGAAAATGATGTCATGGGGAGGGGGGGGCTGACCCAATATGACTGGTGTCCTTATAAAAGGAGCTGGGCATCATCTCAGTCCATCCCCCCGACTCCCCTATGAGGTAGAGACTACTGTTATCCCCATATCACAGGTGAGAAAACCGAGGCTCAAAGAAAGCAGGTGGCTTGCTCAAGGTCACGAAGCTGATAAGCAGAGCCTGACTGCGCTCTCGTTCATGTGACGACATGTAACCACATTATCATGATACATAACCACTTTGTAACTAGAATCGGATCCCACTGTTTTGTGGGGGAAGGGAGAGGAGGCAGGCACCCACGCACACATAGGAAAGGGGGGACAGGCACCAAAAATCTAACAGGGACCCCTTCCCCCAATTGTCTGACAGGTGGCGGATGATTATTTTTCTACGGATTCATCTGATGTTTCTAAATGTTCTAAAAAAATCATGCATTGGTAAGAGAAAGACAACGTTATTTTTTGAAAAAAGAAAGGAAGCCCTGGCCGGTTTGGCTCAGCGGTCAGAGCGTCAGCCTGCCGGCCAGAGAGTCCCGGGTTCGGTTACTGCTAAGGGCACGTACCTCGGTTGCAGTATGTCCCCGGCTCCGGTTGGGGTCATGTGGGTGGCAACCACTCGATGTGTCTCTCTCGCATCGATGTTTCTCTCCCTCTCTCCCTCCTGCTCTATCTGAAGATAAATGCAAAAATGTCCTCGGGTGAGGATAAAAAGAAAAAAAAAAAAGAAAGGAAGAGGAGAGAACAGGCTCTACTAGGTGTTCTGGTAAGAATTAATGTAAGTCTGTCTGAGTTTCATTTTAAAGAGCACCATCTTGGGCCCTCCCGCCAGGCCCCCAAGGGCCACCCCGCTAGCCTTGGGTATCAAGAGTCGGCAGACGCAGCCCTACCTTTCAGACTGGACCCCGTTCCTGAGCGAGCCCACGTATGTCTTCTTCTTGTCGACAGGCATCACATCCACGTAGCCCCCGCTCTCGCTCCTGATCACCCCCGCGTGCACCGCGGTCCTGCAGATGCTCGACGTCTGAAAGCACAGGAAGAGCTGCGGTCAGTGCCGGAGGTCAGGCTCCTGGACGGAGCTCAGCCCCTCCTGGGGGCCAACTTCCTGCTGGGTGGCCAGGCTGGCGGGGCGTTGGCCACGTCAACCCCAAGGGAATGACCACTGCCACCTCGATCCCTCAGTGGTCTGTCCAGAGTGACCTGACGTCATTCATTCATTCATTCATTTGACAAATACTTTCTGAGCACCCACTGGGCACTGTGTTGGATGCAGGGGGCTTCCACAGGGAACAGAGTGAAGACCTTGCCTTCCCAGAGTGGAGGGAGACAAACAAGTATACGAATACAAAAACAAGTAACTCAGACTATGAAAAAATAAAACCAGATCATGAGATAAAATGGAGGGGACACTTTTAGAACAGTTAATCAGGGAAGACTGTTCTTGATGTGACATTTGTACTTAGTGACAAAAAGGAACCAGCCACAGCCATGGAAATATCTTTGGTGGCAGAGCATCCCAGGCAGAGGAAGCAGCCTGTGCAAAGGCCCTGGGGCCCTGTCCAAGGAACAGAAAGAGGGCTGGGTGGTTGAGTCAGGCAGAATGTGGCCAGAGAGGTGGGAAAGGTGAGCAAGGGTCAGTCACATGGGGCTGTGAGGACCACAGTGGGAGTCAGTATGTATTCTAGGTGCCAAGGGAGCCACTGGATTTCAAGCAGGGGGCAGGGTGTGCTGTTTCCTAAAGTCATCACGTAGTCCAATTCCTGGGTTATGAAATCCTCCAGTTAAACATTCATCAGGGCCTTAACTTACCCAATAGAAAAATTGGGTTTCTGAGAGTAATGAATCAACATTTCTCAACTTCATTCAGGGGTAGGGTGCCCGGTGTCTGCTAAAGATGCAGGATCCTGGGCCTTACCCTGACATACGGATTCAGAACCTCCCCCAGACAAGGGCCAGGTGATGCTGATGCACGCTCAAGGTTAAGAACCAGTAGGTAACACCCTCCTGCCTCTTCTATGACCCCTTGATCTGGCCTAAACCCCAAACAAGCCTGGCCGTGGGTCCCAACCATCACGGCAACTCCCAGCCACCCACAGCATCTTCACAGGATGATGGCACCCAGATCCCCGCCCCTGCCCAGCCCCACTGGACTCAGTTGCTCTGGGCTGAAACTCAAGATTCAGCATTTTGAACATTACGTGAACTTTTGAATAGTAGGAAATACCTGTTTGCAGAAAACAGTCACCTGGAGAATGGCCCCAGTGACATCTAATGATAGGCTTAACCAGGCTGACTGGGGCAGCTGCTCAGTCTAGCCCAGCAAGCTGCCAACTTAGAGATAAAAAGTCAGGCCCCATAGCTACAGAGCGGGAAGGCGGGCTCCATTCCTGCCTTCACTCCTGACCTACTGGCCTGTGGCCACCGCAGAGGCTTAGCCTGTGGACTGCGTGTGTCGAGGACGGACGGGGTAGATGGGGCCAGGTTAGTTGTGCTTTAAGCCTTTCTGGGAGGTGCATGGAGTGGGGCACGGAGGCCTCTGCCAATCATGTCCCGAGTGGGAAACTTAAATACCATCAAGGCATGGGTCACCCAGCAGGAGGGCGGGTCTGGGCTTCGTTACCTCTTCATGCCCCCTCTCTGCACAGTACCTGGGACCAGCAATCACCCCTGGGGCGACTAAGGTCCCAACCACTGGTTAACCAGCACCTCCTTCATGAAGGGAACTAGAGTGAAGAAGACAAATACTGTATGATTTAGTACCAAAAGGAGTCAACCTCATAGAAACAGATAGTACCAGGAGCTGGGGAGGGAAACGGGGTGTTGCTGTTCAGTGGGGACAGTTTCAGACGTGTCAGATGAAAATCTGGAGATCTATTACCCAACAATGTGAATATACTCAACACTACCAAACTATACACTTACACACGGTTAAGAGGGAAAATGTTATGTATAGTTGATCGCAATAAAGAAAGAGATAAATAGAGAGGAAGAGAAGGAGAGAGGGCAGGAAAGGAGAGGGAGAGGGTAGAAAGACAGACGGAGAGAGCATGCTATACCCAGGCCTAGAGGAGAATGCTTTCTAGAGGAATCAATCAGTGCAGCTCTAAGAGTGGTCGGCCGGCCTCTGTCCCTGGCACAGCTTCCAAGTTCCTTTGTCCCCTTGTCCTTGCCACTGTCCCTGGCCCATCTGTGTCTGGAAGTTGTACCCTGAACTGAGTGGAACAAGCAACCCATCTAGCAGGTTCCTAACGCCAGACGTGAGAAAATGGATTAAAGTAGGCTCTGAAAATTTGAAATCTCATTGAGCTTGTTACCACCGCTCAGAATGCACAGCCCATTCAAAACACTGCAACAGGCCTTCTCAGGGGACATGCCCTTCGGATCTGCCCTTCAGCTACTGCCTCGTCCTTCAAAACCAGGTCATCTTAAGACAGGCCAGTCAGCCGGGGCAAGCAGAATAGGGAAACTGAGACCAGATGGTTAAACAGCAGTGTGGCACCATCTAGAAAATCAAGATGCCACGTAGTTTGCAGCCATCTAGAAAATCCTATCTTCCCTAAAGCAGGGACACTTAAGAGTAAATGGCTTGTCCCTCTCCTTCCCAACCAGAGGGTGAAAAGCTTAAATCACCTACTCAGGGAGACAGACAGCAGAAATCCAATGAGTGCCATTGGCCAACCATATCCAAGGACAGAGGTAGCAAAGAGAATAAACCTCATTGTGGTACATCAGCACACAGCTGATGAATATTCTATTGAAACCCTCCCTCTGACACCTCCCCTAAATGCCCAGCCTTTAAAATTTCTCAAAACAAAGGTCCCAGCATGTGCTCTCTCCCCGGCTTTAATAAACATCCTCTAAAATTCACTCCCCCTGCCACAACCCCAAGAAAGGACCCATAACATTCCCATTCTCAAAAGGGTTTGTGCCCTCAAAGGATGAAGCAGCAGCCCTGGCCGGTTTGGCTCAGCGGTTAGCGCGTCGGCCCGCGGACCGGGGAGTCCGGGTTCAGTTCCCGCTAAGGGCACGTGCCTCGGTTGCAGTTCGTCCCCAGCCGAATTGGTTGTGCAGGTGGCAACCAATCGATGTGTCTCTCTCACGATGTTTCTCTCTCTTTCTTCCTCCCTCTCCCCCTCCCGCTCTGTCTGAAGATAAATGCAAAAATATCCTCAGGTGAGGATAAAACAAATAAATAAATACAAGCTGAAACAGTACAGCCATCTCAAAGAGAAGCAGGGCGACGACGCCGGGACCCCTGGTTCACTGTCCGCGGGGGGAGCTGTGTCCGTGAGCACAGCACCCTGGTGTTCTCCCCGGCGGGTGGAACTAACTGGCTTCTTCCCTCTCCCTGCCCTGTCGCTCACTCTGCTGACCAGGTCACGCAACCTCATGCCCACAGCCAGATCGTTCTCACGCGATAGGCCCCGCGTGGGTCGGTTATCAGTACACACACCGTCCCCCCCGGCACCAGGCAGGCGTCCCCCCCCCCCACCTTCTCCCACAGCTCTCCTGTCGCCAAGCTTCTGTAAAGGTACAGTTGTCCATTTTCCCCTCTCAGGGCCCCACGTAATATAATGTCTGAATATTTACTGACAGCTGTTGTCATTAGAGATCCGGTCCGGTGCGCTGGAACCAGTGCTGCCTCCAGCTGCCTGTGTGGTCCTGGGTGACTGTGTTAAGCCCCAGGGTCTCTGCTTCCCACTCTGAAGTGGGGCAGCTAACATTTTTGAGCATTGCCAAGGCAAGCCCTGTTCTAAGTGTCTCCCGTGCATGGGCACAGTAATCTCCCGATAACCCTGCAAGGTAGGTGTTGTTATCATCTCCTCTTAACAGACGGGCAGACTGAGGTTCAGGGAAGTTAAGTGGCCCCAAATCACTCGGCTGGCAAACAGCAGAGCCCCGACTGCCACCCAGAGCCAGCCAGCTGTACACGACGCTACTTCGTAAAAAGGCCATCGTGAAGGTTAAGTAAGATCAACGGCTGCATGCAGGCTTGTACACAGCGAGTGCTCCAGAGGCGGTCGTTAACAAGACAAATACCACCACCCTCATCATCGCTGTCACTATCACCCTTATTGGACAATCTCGAGGGGCTGTCATCTCTAACCCGGTGGTCCTCTAAGTGCAGTCCCAGACCAGAAGCATGAGCATCACCGGGGAACTTGTTAGAAATGCAAATTCTCTGGCTCTACCCCAGACCCACTGAGTCAGAAATGCTGGGGGTGGGGCCCAGAAGTCTGTGTGAACAAGCCTTCCAGGGGATTCTGATGCATGCACAGGTATGGGGACTAATCCCCCCACCAAGGGAGACAGGGAGGACAGATAAGCAAACAGGTTGGGGTGGGGAGGGGGGGCTTGCCCCCCAACCCCCAACTGGTAAATGTCACAGGTGGGGTTTGAACTCTCGCCGTCGAATCCAGACTGTGCTCTTGGGGCTACACCCTGATGCCTCTCCTGCCGGCAGCTCACCACAAAGCGAGGGCCTGCCAAGTATTTCACTCTGGGTGAGCAGGCAGGGACTGGAGCACTAGAGGCCCTTCGAAGATCTAGAGACAACTCTCCCAAAATAAATCTCTTAGCTAAACAGACATTTTCCAAAAGACATCATCATTTCCCAGAATACGGAGTGACCTAGAAACCCAGGCCAGCAAAGAACCTCTGAAACGGAGGTAGCTTTCCTCCTTCCCTCTTCTCTCCCTGTCTCCTCTGTTCCTTTCTCCTTTTCCTCCTCCCTTCTCATCCTTTCTGTACTGACTACTGTAGGGTCTTCACTTATTGATTCCTTTAAAGAACGTTCACTGAACACCTGTGGATGAGCCCTGTAGTTCCAAAATCTAAAAACTTCACACAGGTTGCCCTGGCCGGTCTGGCTCAGCGGTTGGAGCGTCGATCCTCAGACCAAAGAGTCACGGGTTCGATTCCAGTCAAGGGCATGTACCTCGGTTGTGGTTTGTCCCCAGCCCTGGTCGGGTCATACGGGAGGCAACCAATCCATGTGTCTCTCTCACATCAATAGTTCTCTCTCTCCCCTTCCCACTCTATCTGATGATAAATGGGAAAATATCCTCAGGTGAGGATTAAAAAATCCATGTGATTATGAGTGCAGGTACATTCAAGCAAGGCACAATAGAGTATGGAATGAACAGAGCCTAAGGCAGGGCACACCCTCACGGTACCTCACCTTTGCCATGTACTAGCTTGTGTGTTTTGGGGCAGGTTATTCTGAGCCTTACGTTCCTTCTCTGTGAGATAGAAATAACGAAACCTAGAGGTGGCGTTTTTAAAGAATTTAAAAAACAGTGGAAGGCAGCTTTATGTCATTACTAAAATGTGATCAAGTTCTTTCTTGCATTTCTAACCTTTTTGGGGGTTGATTTTCTATGTTTAGCTGCTGGGTTGTTTGATGCATATAGCTTTAGTTTTCATATCTTCATATCTGTGAAACTTTTTGGATCATTGCATAATGAATTGTATCGTCCCATTCAGGATGCGTCAACCTTCCATTCCACTTTATAAGATACAAACATTGCCACTCTTGCTTTGTTTGTTTGCTTCTTTGTATTTGGCTGGAATCACTTGACTTTCAAATAATTTGAAAAGCAAAGTCTCTGCCCTTTTTTTTTTTTTTTTTACTAATATATATATATTTTTATCCTCACCCGAGGATAAAAATTTCTGCATAGAGCTAGAGGGAGAGAGAAAAGAAGAGAGAGAAACATCGATGTGAAAGACACATCGACTGGTTGCCACCCACACGACCCCAACCGGGGCCGGGGACAAACTGCTACCGAGGTACATGCCCTTAGCGGGAACCAAACCTGGGACTCTCTGGTCCGCGGGCCGACGCTCTAACTGCTGAGCCAAACCAGCCGGGGCCAAAGTCTCTGCCTTTTAATACCAGACTTTGGTTTACACATTTAGTGTAACAATCGATATATATTATTTTACTCCCTTATTAAACGTTTAGAACTCAATTTTGGTGAAACAGTTTTTGAGAGGAAAAAAACCACTCATTTAAAGAGGAAAAAAAAAAAATGGGGCGAGCAGGTTGGCCATCCGGGTGCTTTGACCTGATAGAGCTCAGTGTCTTCACATTTACAAGAATCCGGAGCATACGACGCAGATGGAGGCAGAGATAGCGAGGGTGGGTGTGAGAGAACCACAAAAATGAGGATGAGAAAAAGCTGAGTACACATGCTAGCTGGGGATGAGAGATGCTAATCTAATCACGGAAATTCGGATCTAGAAGTTTCCCTGGACTAGAAAATCCCAGCTGGCTCACTTAGCAGTGAGGTAAATGACTTGGCAAGATCACTCAGAATGCTGGGCAGAGCGGTGACTATATTCATGTCTTCTGGGTCACCATGTCCCTAAGCTCTGGGCAGCTGGACTATGTCCTGGAGGATTTATTTAAGAAAAAGCAGGCTGCCGCTTCCTTGCTGAAGTTAGGAGGGAGATATGGAAGAACAGGTTCCACTATAATAAGAACAGTTATGAACAAGAGGAAAAGAAGTGTGATTTGTATTTTCTTCTGTGCACTCAGCTACATGTACACATAGCCTTAAAGAAATGCAGAGAGCAGCCCTGGCCGGTTTGGCGCAGCGGTTAGAGTGTCGACCTACGGTCCAGAGAGACCCGGGTTCGGTTCCTGCTAAGGGCATGTACCTCTTGTCCCCGGCCCTGGTTGGGTCGTGTGGGTGGCAGGCACTCGATGTGTCCCTTTCACATCGATGTTTCTCTCTCTATCTCTCTCCCTCCCACTCTATCTGAACAAAAAATGGAAAAAATGTCCTCAGGTGAGGATTAAAAAAAAAAAAATGAAATGCGGAGAGCAGAGCGGACCAGGATCTCTAAACGCAGCAGGAGAGCTGGAAAGGTCACCCAGTATTTGGGGAAGTGAAGCAGGTGTCACGTGAAAACTTTCACATTGAAAATGTGTTGTCAACGAGGAAGCAGGCAGGATCCAATTTACCAAACTATGAAAACGTTTGCAGAAGACGAGGCACACCTGCATCCGAATTCCTACGCACACACAGACAGTGGGACAAATGTCTCTATCGATGGGAAACTAGGGCAATTGTTGCAGACATGACTGGTCTAAATTTAGCCGGAGGCCCAGAAATGAAATCTCAGGTTTCTGATGTCCAGACCTTGGAACGTGGTTTCTGAGGGCTTAACGAGCTTTGAGAGGTGGTCACCGAGTGTACTCACATCTGCGTAGATGTTAGTTCCAAACACGGGGGCCCAGTAGGCTGGCTCATCGCTGCAGTGCGCCGGACAGCGGACTCTGAAAAACGAGAGGCATTTGCGGGCTGGTTGGGATCAGCCGAAAACAAACATCTTGAGAAGCATCGAGCCCTCCTCATTTGAATGTCAAGATTTAAGTCCTTAGGCGAAAGAAAACGACCATACTGTTTATTCTTTAAGGAAAAAATAAATAAACAAATAGTGGCTCAGGTAGTTGGAGCGTCGTCCTGTACACCAAAATGCTGAGGGTTCAATTTCTGGTCAGGGCACATTTCGGGTTCGATCCCTGGGCAGGCATGCACGGGAAGCAACCAATCGATGTTTCTCTCTCTTATCAATGATTCTCTCCCTCGCTCTCGCTTTCAAAGCAATAAACTTATCCTCAGATGAGAATTAAAAATATATATATATATATACTTCTCCCACTCTAGTAATGGTACAAATATTTTTCCTCTTCTCACATAGTGCATATAAACTTTTAACCCCCATACAAAAAGACACACAAACAACCGTGTGAAAGGGAAGCACTAGCTCAGGGAGGTGAGTGTGGGATTGTACAAGGTGGTACCTCCCGTTCTTGGGTGTGGGCCAGCTCGTACTGTGGGTACATCATGGAGATTATAATCAATAGACTGTTGCAAGGCCACTGCCCTGTGTGGGGGAGGAAAGGGCGGAGGGCCCTCACCTCAGTGAGTCACAGACTCGTCCAGGGAGGGGGCGCTGATAACCCGAGGCGGGAGGGTTAGGTCAGCGCTATGTCACCAACTCCCTGCCGTGGCGCAGGGGCGAGGAGTGTGCCTCAAGCTGGGAACAGGTGGACCCAGGAAAAGGCGTGAACTGCACTTAGGAACAGGCCTTCCGTCTTCATCTGGAACAGTGGCCCTGGCAGCAGCCCAGGGACCAAGAAGCCAAAATGGCACCCGGAAGCCACCTGGCCCAGGACAGGCAGGGTGGCGGGAGGGAAGGGAGCCAGGTCCAGGGAGAGGGGCAGAGAGAAAGAGGATGTGTGTGAGAGAGTCACAAAAGGAAACAGAATTTAGAAAAGGCTGGTCTTTCCTAGATCTTCTAGAAGGGCAGGTCAAAACCCCTATTAGTCCTACTCATGCTATGTCAGGTTTTTCTTTTCCTATGTTTGTTTTTGTTGAAATAATTTCCTCCGGATTCTCTTTAATATTCGGGGATCTACTGAAAGGCTGTTTCCCCGCTTGAGCATGGGGGGTGGTCCAGGCTGGAGACAGAGAGCCTCCAGGTGGGCGGAGTCAGCCCCCCTGGGGAGATGCCTCCCCTCACGGGTCCCCTCCCTCCGGGGCTGTTCTCTGCTCACACCTCAGGGGGTCCACCTATTAGTTTTAAGGTCAGCCATGCCTTTGGAGAATCCACAAGCTTCCAGGCTAGGATAAGGTTCTAGAAAAGGCAAAAACAGAGTGACAGAAAGTAAATGGGTGGTTTGTGGGGATGTGGGTGGAGGGGGACTGACCGCAGGGGACTTTCTGTGGGGGGATGAGAACGCTCTCTCTCTCGACTGTGGTCATGGCCGGATGACTGTGCATTTGTCTCAACTTTTATCATGTGCAAATTATACCTCAAAAACTGGATTCGAATAAGCTATTTCTAAAGCGAGCCATAGACAATGTCACAGCGCGAGTAGAAGAACCAACGAGCTGGGTTAAATGGGACAGCCACACTGGTCCCAGGCTGACCCGGGACAGCAAACCCGACAAGTCTCAGGGCTTGGGCTGTGTGGCACATGAAGTCCCTTCTGTAAGTGTAAGTACTCTGTCCAGTGAGGGGAGGCAACCAGCATCAAGTGGACGGAGTCAGTTCTCAGTTAAGTTCCCAGAGCAGGGTTCCGAGGACCCGCTGCCTGCTGGGCTCACCCAGTGGTGTCCACAGAGGCTGGGCCACTCCTGGAGGTTCACCTTTAGTCCGTCCCTTCCACAGGGCTGTTTGCATGTCTTTTTATATGGGGTTTTAAACGTTTACATGAACTATTTGAGAAGAGGAAAAATGTTTTTACCACTGCTAGAGTGGGAGAAGAATATTTTCTTTCTTTCTTTCTTTCTTTCTTTTTCTTTCTTTCTTTCTTTCTTTCTCTTTCTTTCTTTCTTTCTTTCTTTCTTTCTTTCTTTCTTTCTTTCTTTCTTTCTTTTTCTCATCCAAGGATATGTTTATTGTTTTGAGTGAGAGAGAGAGAGAAACATTGATAAGAGAGAGAAATATCAATTGGTTGCTTCCTGTACGTGCCCCGACCAGGGATCAAACCCGCAATGTGCCCTGACCGGGAACTGAACCCTCAACCTTTTCTTTCCGTGGTCAAGGCAGGGTCCCAGGGGCTCCTGAGGCGCCTCAGACTATTCCAATGTGCAACCAGGGTTGAGATCCAGCGGTCTCAGGGGAGGTCTAGTGGGCCCTTGACTGTGAACACGGAGGGACTGATTTCCTGGGTAGGCTCACACCAGGGCCATATCTGGAACCCCACTGTGCTTCACTTCCAGGAGATGACCCCCAACCCAGCACGATACCTTCTTCTCTCCGCCCCTGTGTTTGCAAAACCAGACGCCAGGGAGCCTTACCTTGGGCAGTGGGTCCCTGGCTTCTCGAATGGGCAGAGCTGAGCGACGGTGGTGTAGCAGTCCAAGTCTTGCACTGTGAACAGGAGCCATCAGAAGAGGGTCAGGTCATGGGCAAGCCTGGGCCTCGGGCTACCAGCCTGTGAAATGGGCTGCTAGACAACTGGGTCCTAGGTGTTCACTGAGCCCTCCAATGGAGCCAGGCGAGAACCCAGTGTTCCTGGCCCTTCACCAGGGATGAGACAAAACCCATGCTGTTTCCTGGTCAAAGATGCTACCACCCACAATAGCTTCTCTGTGGATCCACTACACTTTTCATTTGCGTAGTGATTTTCTATTTTGAAACCTTTCTCCTACGTATCATGCTGGATCCTCACGGCAAGTATTATTCTGATTATGCAGATGAGGAAACTGAGGCTCAGAACAGCGGAGAGCTCACAGGACATGGAGGAGAACCCAGGTTTCCAATTCCCAACCTGGAGCTGTCTCAAAGAAAGCCAGGGACTCTTTTCTTCAAAGCCATCGGTCTGTTTAAACAACAGATGTAAGAAAGTGACTCTAATACTGGCCACCTGTTGTCTCTGACAGCATGTCCTCGTCTAGTCCAGAGCTGGGTAAACTCTTTCTTCAAAGACCAGAGAGTAAATATTTCCAGCTCTGTGGGCCCTATGATCTACGCTGCAAAGAAACCAGCCACAGACGATGCATAAATGAATGGGCATGGCTGTGTGCCAATAAAACTTTATTTATATAAACAGCCACAGGCAGGATTTGGTCTGAAGGAGGTAGTGACTATAGCACGCTCTCCCATGGATGCATCCCACCCTACCAAATAAACACACCCCATGTTTCCCTCCCTTGGCCAATGCAGACATTACTAATCTATCAAGCTCTGTTTTACACTGAGCCCAGAATGAGGCCTCAGCATCCACCTCCTATCAGCTACTCTAGATGCAGATGTTGGTATTTCTGTGCCATTCAGCTGGAATGCCAGGCCTGTGTTTCTGATTTAGCACTCTAGGGCCAGTGCCAACTTCAGATATGTTTAGAAACTAATTAGAGAATCAGCCTTCTCGGAAACCTCGTTTAAAAGCCTTTACATTGCCCAGCTGGTGTGATTCAGTGGGTTGAGCATCATCCCATGGACCAACTCCCTGTCAGGGCACATGCCCAGGTTGTGGACTCGATCCCCAGGAGGGGGCGAGCAGGAGGCAGCTGACTGATGTTTCTCCCATCGATGTTTCTATCTCTCTCTAAAAATCAATAAAAACATAAAAAAAAAAAAAAGACTTTATAGCCCTGGTCAGGTAGCTCAATCGGTTGGAGTGTCATCTTGTGCACAAAAACAGCTATAGGCTCAGTCCCCAGCTGGGGCATGCTTGGAGGGTAGCCGATCGATGTTTCTCTCCCACATCGATGTTTCTCTCTCCCCCCATCTCTCCCTTCCCCTCTCTCTGAAAATCAATGAACATATCCTGGCGTAAGGATTAAACAAATTAAATAAAACCTTTACAGTGCTGAGAACAGCAATGTCAGCAGGCATGATAAGCACTAAATCAATAACCGAGGGGAATTAAATTTCCAAGGAAACCCAAGATAACCCACGTATTATGGTCACATAAAAACAACCGCCGCTTACCTTTTACTTTTGACACCGTGAATGAGCTGGACGCCTTGTATTTGCTATAAAAGGAAACACTGGTAAATGCAAACAGAATGGCTTCTATACGTGCCCACTTGCTCCTGCATTTCTTTTATTTACCGCCTCAGTTTTACATTTTCCTACAGGTCTACCACCAGCCTGAAAGCCCTCACCCTCTAGCCGCCTGATGGAGTCTACGGACCCCTTCTCAGAGTGACGGTTTTAAAATGCTTATGATAAAAGGAAACGACTAAAGGAAAATCAAGTTATTATTAATATCATTATCAAAGTATTGAAACCAATTAGCGTTAGAGTACTAGCCACACTTCTCGATTAATGCACTGAAAACGATGTGGAGGTGGGTCGGCTGACAACTGTCATCGCAGGGACAGCCACGGAGGCAGTGGTCAGAGATGTCGGCGGCAGGTCGGTGTCCACCAGTGAGCATCGCCTGCCCTGCGGGCCTGCTCTGGTTGGGGGCCAGCATTCATAACGGAAGGACATGCTCCATTTCAGTTAGAGGTCAGTGAAAATAAAGCTTTAATTCGCTTTAGGTTGATGTTCGCAGATTCCCTGAACTCTAAAACGTACAGAACTGGCTCGAGGTGCGGCGCTGGGCACTGGACGGGACTAAAAGCGGCTGCAGGACAAGTGTCCCAGGCAATGCAGGATCCGAACCTGGCAAAGCCCACAGCTCCGTCCTGCCTGTGCTCAGCCTCGTCCTGGACGGTACTGAGGTCACCCGACCGGTACCTCTGTGAGTGCCTTCTTCGGTTTACAGTCCCTTTGCTTGTTTGTTTACATAACCCCCAGGTCCTTAGCCAAGACGGAGAGGGAATACTCTGACACCACCTGAAGAGCAGAACTTTCTGGGGGGAACAACTCATGTCGTTTTTGAAATGTTCGGAGTGGCCTCACAATTCGGACGGGACATGCTGCCTGGTAAGAATCTCAGGACTTTCCTTGTCACAGACCCTGGCGCAGGCGCCCATGTGGGAATCTTGACAGGCTGTGGGCCATCATGGATTAGTTGGGTGTCAGCTTGGGGTCCTACTATGGTTCTCATTTACAAATGAGGGTGCTGCCCCCCAGAAGGGATGAAGAAACTGGCCCACGGTCAGGCACAGGGAAGAAGCAGAACCAGGTCTGTCTCACCCCATGACGCCCACTGGGCTCTACGGTCCCAGCCCCTGATTCCATAGACAGGTCAACATGTGGCCTCCTCGGCGCTCCCCAAAAAGTCAGAATAGCCAAGGACGGTCTGGCCCATCCACCAGCCACATACCTTCCATGAAAACATTATCTTGGGAAAAAAAAGTAAGTATGTTTTAAAAAATGAAAAGCCTCGCTTTTAGGAAGGAAAAGTGCCAATCCAGAATTAGCCTATAAACTCCAAGAAACCATCAGCTGTTAATGATAACGTGTCTGAACGGTCCTCGGGGACAAGGAAGAAAGACAGAAGTCGAAACTCAACCAAATTAGAGAGAGAAAGCGAGCCTGGCCAGTTTGGCTCAGCGGTTAGAGCGTCAGCCCACGGACCAAAGAGTCCTGGGTTTAATTCCAGCCAAGGGCACATACCTTGGTTGTGGTTTGTCCTGGGCCCTGGTTGGGGTTGTGTGGAGGCAACCATTCGATGTGCCTCTCTCACATCGATGTTCCTCTCTCTCTTCCTCCCTTCCGCTCTATCTGAAGATAAAAATGGAAAAATATCCTTGGGTGAGGATTAAAAAATAATAATAATTTTAAAAACTGAAAAGAAGAGCGAGCGAGCATTGGAATAAAATATGCTCAACCACCAATGGGGCAATCCCTGCGTGATGGGATCAAGGTCATCTCTACCCCCCCCCCTCGGTACTTTATATTGTTCAGTACTTTTCAAAGTTTCAACAATACTTTTATAAACCAGAAAAATTTTTCAGAAACCCTGATCACAGAATAGTCACCTCAAAGACTCCATGCCATTTCTCTCAGATTTGACAAAAAAGGGGACCCTCCCGTTCCTGGTGACGTCCACCAGGCCTCCTTTGTCGTCCAGGATCCCGTAGTGAATGGCGGCCCGGCATATGCTGGACGCCTGTGGGGAAGGGAAGACCGTGAGTACATCCGAAGTAATCTTTGTCAGCAACACCAAGAGGTTCGTCTTCAGCCCACAACAAGCCACAACGCCGGGCCAGGCTCACCCCACCTCTGTCTAGAACCTGTCTTCTTTGTTCCTGGGGTTGCTTATCTTAAAAAACCCACCTGAGCCCGGCCGATGTGGCTCAGTGGTTGAGCGCCGACCCATGCACCAAAAGGTCACCAGTTCGATTCCCGGTCAGGATACATGCCCAGGTTGTGGGCCAGATCCCCAATGGGGGGCATGCAGGAGGCGGCCAATCAATGTTCTCTCTCATTGATGTTGCTCTCTCTCTCTCTCTACCTCTCCCTTCTCTCTCTCTAAACTCAATAATGAAAAAAAAAAAAACAAAAAAAAACCCACCCAGGTGCTTCACAGACTAAGAACAGTGACAGTCAGCCCTTTCTCCCCACGCAGTGGGGCATCACGCTCCGTCTAACACAGAGACAGGTCCATGAGCCCAAAAGTGGCTTCACAAGTCCGTGAGCCCGTAGATACTCCCAGATCATCTCTACAAACGTCAGGCCGGACAGAGCAGGGGAAGGGACACCTTTTCACGTGAAAACCACCAGCTTTCTTTAAAAACACACGACAGCATCCACACAAGCACCGACAGAAACACTGACCACACTTACACTTTCATAAAAGAGTGTTCCGAAGACCTTTGCCTTGTTGTTCAGGCAGCCTGCTGGGCACTGGTACCTGACGGAAAAGACAAGATGATTTTCACAGGGAAACATGATTCAATATGACCGTGGGATTATCTTTTTTTTTTTCTTCTTCAACGGCTCTGTTGTTAAACACAGAAAAGCTTCAGTGATGTGGAGTCCGCTGTTTCCTGGCAGGTCACAGTTCACGCAGGCTGAAGCTTATGGTCACATGAACACAATTACAGATTCCATCTGACCTCCTTCAGGTCTATTTTCACGTGCTTAAGATTTGTGCTTAAACGGAGACGTGACTAGACGGACAATTCACAGAAGAAAGGCAAGTGACGCCCAGACACTTAAAAAACCGAAACCCTTAACATCAGTCATCGGAGACCGGCAAAGCGAAAGAATGTGCCATTTCTCGGTGTCAGATTACACGGCTTTTTAAACAGAATAAAACTCAATGATGGTGTTTGTGTTCGTGAAAAAAGTATAAATCACTCTTTCCAGAAAGCCTGACATTTGTTAATTCTTGAATTTCCCTTTAAGTGTGTATCCCAAGGAAAAAGTCAGCAAGTCAGACCCACATGTTATTCCAACTGTTTAGAATTGTGAAAAAACCAGAAACAAGCCAGCGGATATCAAAGGAATGACCACACATGTCGGTGTCGCATATGTCAGAGTGGTTGGTATGCAGCCACTAGGAAGGGCGTTTTCCGAGGCCGACTCACTGCCTTCAGAAACTAGTGCGTGAAAACAAGAACACGTAGGAGCCCGTAAGCAGTAGTGGCCGAATCAGTGCAAGGAAAAAAGATCAGAACTATAACAAATTGTTACCGATACTGAGGACAATCTGGAAACATTTTTTTGCTTGTATACTTTGTTGTGGTGGTTGTTTTCCTGGATTACTTACAACAAAGAAGAATACTTTCTAAAGTCAGAAAATAAGCCCTGCCTGGTTGGGGTCAGCGGTTAGAGGATCACCCCCGGACCAGAGAATCTCAGGTTTCATTCCCGGTCAAGGGCATGGACCTGGGTTGCAGGTTTGACCCCCAGCCCCAGCCAGAGTCATGAGGGAGGCAACCAATCGATGTGTCTCTCTCACGTGGATGTTTTCCTCTCTCTCTCTCCCCCCCTCCCTCCCTTCCACTCTCTCTAAAAATCAATGGAGCCTTGGCCAGTTTGGCTTAGTGGTTAGAGTGTCAGCCCACGGACCAGAGAGTCCCAGGTTCGGTTCCCATTAAGGGCATGTACCTCAGTTGCAGTTTGTCCCCAGCCCCGGTTGGGGTCGTGTGGGTGGCAACCAGTCAATGTGCCTCTCTCATGTAAGTGTTTCTCTCTCTCTTCCTCCTTCTCTCCCTCCTGCTCTATCTGAACATAATTGCAAAAATGTCCTCGGGTGAGGATAAAAATAAATAAATAAATAAAAATCAATGGAAACATATCCTCGCGTGAGGATGAACAAAAAAATAAAATAAAGTAAAATCAGAAAATAAGCCCAGCAAATACTATTTTTGTAAGAGTACCGGACACAGAAACCGGATGTGCCAGACGGTGGGACAGCCTGTAGGTGAGACACTGTGGACAGGTTGGTGTTTGCAGGTGGGATGAGTTATCTTTCTCGACCAGAGGTCTCCGAAAGTCTTGGTGTGGATGGACCCTTGTCTTCTCCCTGCCTGGGGAGGGTCCCATCTGCCCCTGACTCCGGAACTCTTTTGATTCTATCTCACGAGGGATGTTTTAAACCCCGTAATTTTTCCCCATTGAGCACTCAGGAGTGATAATGAGTTTGTGGGACAGAAAGTCACATCGTCACGAAGGGACATTCCAAAAATCCTAGACCCATGAGTTTGCGGAGTGGATGTCCCTTCCAGCGCCGCGTGCTTCCTGCCCAGTTCGCCCAGCACACCCAGAGATGTGCAACTGTCCCCAGCACCGTGCAGGGGACGGTTATTGCACCACCGGCATTGCCACATCTTGCTCATCTCACCAACAAGCGGACCGTTGACTTCTGCAGCGCTTGCTGGCCTGTTTCCAGCTGCTCATGGGACGATGTCTGAACCTCTTGAACGACCTCATCCTGAGTTGCTCAAAGTCTATTTCCTAACACGCCTGCCAAAGGCCGAGCCAAGCGTTCTAGCAAACCAAACTCCAAATCCTCGTGGTATAAAATAGGACCCGCCACCTTCTCTTTTTAGCATGCGCTTTAAATGATGCAATTCAGCTTTAGGAGAATGCGTGCCAGAGTCCATAGGAAGACGAGGAAGGACCCGTCTGCCAGTGACGTGGTTTTCCTGCCCTGAACCTGAGGCTCTGCATGAGGCCGCGGCACCTGCGGGCCGCTCGCTGCCAGGAAGGGCAGCCCAGCAGCTGCGCTGCCAAAACCAAACTCGCTCTTCTTGGCAGGCATGCTCCGACACCCGAGTGGACAATGACTCCGTCAGCTAGATGAATTCATTCAACTACCCGGGGCTACACGGGCGGCTCTTGCTCCAGTGGGGCCCGTCGGGAAGCAGCAGGCCGACTCCGATTCTGCGGCAGGCTTGCAGGGTCCATGCACGGCCAAGGAGCCGCCAGCCCACACACGTCTTAACACCACCCCACCTCCGTGGTGCATAACTCTGGGCGCCCCTGGGACGCCCTCACACAGAGAAGTGTCATGGAGCCCGAGCTGCACAAAAACGCTGGTCAATGTCGTCATGTCTCTGCAGCTTGGAAATTCCTTTGAGACGATAACACAGAGCACCTGCAGTTCGAACACCCCCTTCCCGCTAGGGATGAAACACGGAACTGGAATATATGTCCAGGCGGAAGGAGACCCAGAGCTTGGGCCAACCCTCGAGGTCAAAGGTCATCAATTAGGGGTGATCTTACCCCCGGGGGGCGATTGGTGATTTCTGGAGACATTTCTGATGATCACAACTAGGGAGGTGCTCCTGGCATCTGGCAGGTGGAGGCCAGGGATGCTGTTCAGCTTCCCGCACTGCACAGAACAGCGCCCACCACAAAGGGTTATATGGCCCGAAACGTCCGCACTGCTGAGGCTGAGACACTCGGGTGCGGGTTGACAGAAACGGGATCACCTTTGTGTGCACGCCCTTAGTAAAGGGTGGCATTCGGGGGGAGCTCTGGCCAGTCTGATTTATGACACAAAGCAAGCGGAGTCACCTCCCCACTCAACCGCTGTGCATACCATTGCTGCGAAAAGTAGAGAATACCCTATTTTTGTGAGTTTCTACCCAGCCTGCTTTGGGCGGCCATCAGCTGGCTGATCATGACGTGACCCACAGCCACAGCAGGTGCTTCAAGGGCTGTTGGGGCAGTGACAGGGCCCAGCCCAGACCTTACCTGTTGCACGTGGAGCCTTTGCACTTGTCCTTCATCTTGGTGTCACACCTGACAACTTGGGCTAGGAGAGAAATTCAGACATATACCTCACTGCAAGAATCAAGGGGATGAGACTGAGTGAGAGGACCCCCCCCCCCCACTCTGAGGAACTTCCCAGGACATTCGAGAGCAAGACAACTGCCTAGTGGCCACGAGCTTCAGTGGTGAGGTTCGAATCCCTGACCTGCCGCTTTGCAGTGGTCCTTTGACCTGGGACGTGTTCCTTCCCCTCTCTGAGGTCCAGTTTCCACATGTGGATAAGGGGTCCCAGTAACGTGGGTACTGTGTCCGTGAGCAATGAATGAGAAAGTGCCCATAACCCTGGCAGGGAGCCTGGCACACACTAAGTGCCCCGCAGACCCTCTGGGCTCTGGAGAACCCAGCCTGGGAAGCGGAGAACAGGCCCCCCTGCGCCGTCTCCCCCGTAGCCAAGACGACTTTGCCAAGCTTCCCTTTTCTGTGTATTTTATAGGGACATATAGAAATCTTGGACTAGAGTTATAGTTAGAGAAAAAAAAAGACATTATAATTTTACGTTATTAAAATAACCAATGGAACCGTTTCAAACTTCTGGACAGAAAGGAGCATCAGCGTATTTCCTGGTCAGAGAAGCTACAGGAAAAAAGGCAACAAGCCTGGGAAAAAGGCCCTTGAAGCCCAAGAGGCTAGAGTGACTGGTGGGGGCGGGGGAGGTAGTAGTTGAAAAATAGGGGATGGTGCCCAGCTGGTGTGGCTCCGTGGTTGAGCATCGACTCATGCACCAAGAGGTCACCAGTTCGATTCCTGGTTAGGACATACGCCCAGATTGTGGGCCCGATCTCTGGTGGGGGCATGCAGGAGGCGGCTAATCAATGTTCTCTGTCATTGATGTTTCTGTCTCTCTCTCCCTCCCACTTCCTCTATATCTGAAATCAATAAAGAAAAAAAAAACTTAAAAAGAAAGAAAAATAGGGGATGGTTTCTGAGCAAGATGGGCACAAGGTGAGCCCTACTCTGGGGCGAGGCCAGTTTGACGCTGTTTAAGGCTTAGCGGAGAACTGGAGGGAAGGAGAGCGGTGGACGGACAGCCCACGCCTGTTGCCGTGTCTGGGAAGCGCCCCTGCAGAACCCCAGACCTCCAGGAAAGGTGCCCTGTGCACAGTGCCCAACGGGACATCAGTGTCGGGGAAGTCAGAGCACTGAGCTCTGGCCAAGCAGCGCGAAGAAAGAAGAACAGCCGAGGGAGGTGAGGTGCACCGGGAACCAGGGGAGGGGAGAGCGCGACAGAGGCGAGCGTGGGAGTGGTCTGGGGACTTGCAGAAGTCTGGGGGAAACATGTAACTTCCCGCCAAGGGTGCTGTCTGAGGCAACTGGATACTCCCAAAGTGCAGGGAGCCCCCAGTACTGCAAATAATCCTCATAGCACCTCGTATTACTGCCCCGTTTTGTGGATGAGCAAACGGAGTCCAGAATTGGGCGCTCACAGGAGCTGGCCCCACCCTGCACGGGAACACTTCTGAGAAGAACCCAGTTCAGCCCAGGTCCCCTTTGGAAGGCTAAGGTCTAAACGTAAAACACCTGCCTGGGGCGGGGGTGGGGGAGGGGTGTCACTCAAGCATAGCTTCTGTAAATCTTACTTTTGAAATTACTTTAAAACATTTTTTAGGAACGTCTTAGGGTTGCGCACTTGCAAGCTGCACACTTCCCTGCCCCTGCCGTTTGCAGACGGGGAGACCTCTCCACCCACCAGCTCCCCTCCTCCATCCACCCCAAAGAAAACTGCCCCCTTCCAGAGGTGGCTCGCAGGGGGACCGAGGGCAGAGAGGGAGCCGACTCACTCATGTAGTTCACGGCGGACGTTTTCTGGGGTCTGATCACCCTCGGCTGAACCCAGGCGTGTTTCTCTTCAGCAATGGGAGCTGTCTCCACCTCATTCATCTCGTCTGTTTCAGGCTTTTGGACATAAGTCTCTTCTTCATAGGGAAGACGGAGGGAAAAAAATAAATGCTGAGATTCAACAAAAATGCACTTTGCAAAAAAAAAAAAAAAAAAACACTTGGAACCTAAACTGGTTTGAGGTTTAGTTTGACAAAGAATCACTTCAGTGGCAAAGAGAGAGTTACGTTTCAGAGCAGGCCTGGCCGGCTGGGATTCTACCCGCCGGGGCGAGATAGACAGGCTCTGCTGCTGGGTGTGCTTCGGACCCAGCTGGGCTGACCACAAGGGGAGAAGGCCCCAGCGCCCACACCTGCATGATCAGAATGGTTTCTTGTCCCACCTCCTCCTGCACCATCATTTGCCCAAGGAAGTATATCCTCTGACCCCAAACCGTAGCTGCCTTCCCTGAGGTCCCTCTTGCCCTAAGTCATCAATGGGAGAGGGGTCTTCCTCATTTACACGCCCATTATGGTGCACAAAGATACCTCAATGGCCTTGGGCCCCACGGCCCCTTATCACCAGCCCATCCTGCTCCCTTCTCTACCCCGTGAGTCAAGATCACTTAACCCAGACTCATTTCCTCTCTCTGCACTGAAGTTTTGCTACCCAGTGACGTTGGACCCATCACATAGAATGAACAAGACAGACCCAACTCCTGGTTTAAAAAAATTAGTTCATTGGGTCCCAATCTGTTCGCCACCCAAATACTATTTCTCCAACCATGATCATGACCCCTACATTTTTTTTTAATCCTCACCTGAGGACACTTTTTGCATTCATAGAGCGAGAGGGGGAGAGGGAGGATGAGAGAGAGAGAGAAACATCAACATGAGAGAGACACATTGAGTGGCTGCCACCCACACAACCCCAACTGGGGTCGGGGACAAACTGCAACGGAGGTACGTGCCCTTAGCGGGAACCGAACCCGGGTCTCTCCAGACCGCGAGCTGACGCTCCAACCGCTGGAGCCAAATCGGCCAGGGCTGGCCCCCTACATTTTAATTAACTAAACAAACTGCATTTATAAACATCAGTTTATTTGTCTTCTAGTTTTCATCACAAAAGACAACTATTCATTGCTGACCAAAATCTGTAACCAGGCCACCAAGATACCAAACTGTCAGTTCCAGCCAAAGCCAAGCAGAGAGTTGCTGTTCGCATCTGCTGGCCTGGCCTTCTCCAAGATGAACAGGTTCACAGCCCTTTGCACCCTCACAGCATGCACCCCTGTCCCGCCAGATGTCTGTGGACCCGAGTTGGAACCCCCTGCTCCTGCTGTCCCTCAATGAAACAAGCGACAGAAGTGTGTTTGGGTAAGAACGACATCAAGCAGGAGGAGTGACGCATCCTCACAGACCTCTTCGTGTCACGGAACAAACAAGTCCTAACAAGTGTTCATCAGCCCCCCCGCCTGGTTGCCACTGCTTCTTAAGGGCAGTGACCTGTCTGCTCCACAGGGCAGACCAAGATTTTTGTGTCTATACCAGACACACATGCACATGAAGAGCAGATGAGTGGTTCTCCCAGGCTTGTCCAGGATGGAATTCTTTGCTTCTGTTTCACGGTTCAGTTCTGTCTTGCACAACCACCACCCCAGGCGCACCTAGTCCCGAGACGATGGATGGGATTTAAGCTGGGAGGCGAACTGCAATCTCGGGTCTCGGATCTGCTCCATCAGAGCTCATGGACTTCCTGTGCTGCTTCTGGGCAGTGAGCTCACAGCTGTGACCTCACCCCCGCCTGCCTTTCTACCTGCTGTAAGCTCCCTGGGGCCCGGAGCGAGCCTGTGTCACAGCTCCCTGGGTACCCAGCTCCCAGCCCATAGTACTTGCTCAACAAGATCTGCCGAATGGGAGATAATCAAAACCCCCAAAGAATTCTGTCTTCGGATTCCTTTGGGAGAGAAAAAAAAAATTCCCAGTGAAGTTTAGACATTTCGGAAGGGAATTCTGAAAGCACCAATTGCAGCCAAAGCCATTAGGTGAGATCTTCACGAAGACACCAGGTCCGCAGCGCCGTTTGGCACGCTCCGCCGTCTCTGGCCGGCCTTCCCGTCAATGTGGCTACTCAGGTTTGCCCTTCGCTCAAAGCCACAGCTGTCTCTGGAATAAGCCGGGTTTTCTTCCACTGGCCTTTAGGATTTTTATACCTCATAATCGCAGCTTTATTGAGACGAATATAGTTTGGTAAAGCAGTCTAAAGCATTTGAGGGCTCACTATTTAAGAAAATGGGCAGACAGTCCTCGCCCTCAGACACACACATGAAACGTGGACCGCCTGCCCAGAGGACCGGCTCTGTTTGGGCACATCCCAATTAAGATCCCCCGTGCGGGCCGGCGCAGGCCTGGGGAAATTCCACGTCCGAGTTCACGGCGAGGTCACCGTGCGCGCCGTCCGGCGCCGGACCAGGGGTCTGGGGCGCACTCCCATCGTCCTTCAGATTCCCACCTGGGTCCGTGTGCTAACAGAGCTCACAGCTAACGGACTGAACGCAGACATCCTGATAGTTCTCACGACATCCTCTCGTTGCCCTAAGGGATGTGATGGGCCTCATTTCACAGAGGGACCGAGGACCTGCCCACACTCACACAGCTGGGAGGCAAACTGCCTTTCCCTGCAGCCCACGCCCTCTTTGTTCTCACTGTTGTCGATCCTCACCCCAGGATCTTTATTTATTGAATTTTAGAGAGAGTGGAAAGGAGGGAGGGGAGGAGGGAGGGAGGAAGAGAGAAACATCCATGTAAGAGAGGTACATCAATGGGTTGCCTCCCACATGACCCTGACCAGGGCTAGGGATCAAAACTGCAACCCAGCCCTGGCCGGTTTGGCTCAGCGGTTGGAGCATCGGCCTGCGGTCCAGAGAGACCCGGGTTCGGTTCCCGCTAAGGGCACGTACCTCAGTTGCAGTTTGTCCCCGGCCCCGGTTGGTCATGCGGGTGGCAGCCACTTGATGTGTCCCTTTCACGTCGATGTTTCTCTCTCTCTCTTTCTTCCTCTCTTTCCCTCCCGCTCTGTCTGAACAAAAAATGGAAAAAAATTTCCTCGGGTGAGGATAAAAAAAAAAACTGCAACGCAGGTATGGCCCCTGACCAGGAATCAAACCCGTGACCCTTCAGTCTGTGGGCTGACCCTCTAACCACTGAGCCAAACCAGCCAGGGCTGCCCACACCCTTTATCACCCCCCTGGCAAGGCTGGAGGGGTGCAACACTCTCTCGTAGCCCATCCTTACCCCTGCTCCATCTCCATTATCAGCCAGGCCCTGCGTGCAGGCTCAATAAGTAGCTTAGGCAGGTTGGTCACTTTATAGGAGACTTTCTGCACGGTTAGCTACGAAAATTGGTGCACCTGCCTAATCAAGTTGGCTATTTTCCACCAAAAATAAAGAAACAAGTACTGAGGCTTCATTGGGTGGGTAAACCAGCATCTAAGGGATCTTTGTCTGTATTTGTTCTCGGAAAATGACTCTCTGTGGGTTTGGGTGGTATTGTACCGAGATGACATTCAGAACACACCTGCTCCATGCCCCTGGAGGCCCTGGAGTGAACCAGCAGTTGTAACTACAGGTGGTCAAGGTTCAAGAAGAGTCTGGCTGCAGGAAGGCAGGTACACTGCCTGTCTGTATAGTCAGGGAAGGCTCCCTGGAGGAGGCGTGCCACCACAGCTGTGTTTCCAAGGAGGAGAAGGCATTTGCCAGGTTCTAGAGATGGATGAGATAGCCAGGCTAGGAGAGGACGAAATCCTCACCGGGTGATGAAGGACTCCATGCAGGTGTAAGCACACCAGGCTTCCCACTTCTTCAAGGAGCTAACCCGCTCTGTTTATACAGCACTGACTATGTGCAGGTTGTTGTGCTAGCAACTCACGTCCTCCTCATTGCTTTAACTGTGGGAGAGCAGGAGGCAGGGGTTTCCAACTCTGCTCCACAGACGTCGGAGGGGACGGGGGTGCATGCTGTGAAGGTGCAAAGGGTCCCCGCAGGGATGTGCATCAGTTCATCTTTGAGAAGGGCCACTCCAGCAGAGGCGAATAGCAACTGTCTGCTTTGCTTTGGCTGAAATGTACAGGACTTTGTCATCACAGTTACAGATGGGAAAACTGGGGCTCAAAGAAGGCAAGCGATGCGCCTGAGCACACACAGCCCATGATGGTGGTGATGACAACCCTGCTCCGCCTTAACCCAGACAGCTCTGGGCCATGCATGACCCCAGGGGGCATTCTTCCCCTCCAGTCCCCAAATCTGATGGAGACTAAACCCTTGCGGGTAACTGGAGAGCAGCCACAGGACCTGCCTGAATAGGAACTTGGAGATAGGATCTGACCTGCCCGAGTGCTGACCTGTATTCTCCTAGTCGCTCCGTGCCCCAGGGATAGATCTGATAACCCCTCTCTTCAGACAGGGACACTGAGGCTCAGAGAGACGATCGCCCAGGGCCCAACACTGGAATGTGGCAGGGCTGATACTCTCAGCGCAGCTGTGCCAGCCTCTGAAACCCGTGGCTGTCTCACAGATCCGGGGATCAGAGGGGGCGCATCAGGGAGCATCTCACCAAAGACGGGTGTGACACAGTGAAGAGGTGTGGCCTGAGAGGACACATGGAATCGAGAGGCATTTTCTTTAGCAAATGCTTATGGGGCCCTGGCCAGTTTGTCTCAGCGGTTAGAGCCAAAGAGTCCTGTGTTCGAATCTGGCCAAGGGAACATACTTCAGTTGCGGTTTGTCCCCAGCCTCGGTTGGGGTCGTGCAGGTGGTAACCAATCAATGTGTCTCTCTCACATTGGTGTTTCTCTCTCTCTCTCCCTCCTATTCTATCTGAAGATAAATGTAAAAAACAAACAAACAAACAAAACATATGCTTACAGGCATAGAAACATGCACGTAGATCAATGGAACAGAATAGAGAGCCTAGAAATAAACCCACACCTTTATGGTCATTTAATAATTGACAAAGGAGGCAAGAACATACAATGAGGTAAAGATAGTCTATTCAATAAATAAAGTTGGAAAAATTGGACAGATACATGCAAAAAGAAAAAGAAAAGGAAAAATCAAACCAGACCGCCTTCTTAATCATACACAAGAATAAACGCAACATGAATTAAAGACTCAAAACTATAAAAATCCTAGAGGAAAACATAGGCAGTAAAATCTCAGACATTTATCATAGAGATATTTTTTTCTGATATGTTGCCTCAGGCAAGGGAAACAAAAGAAAAAATAAACAAATGGGATGACATCAAACTAAAAAGGTTTTGCACAGCAAAGGAAACCATCAACAAAAGGAAAAGACAACCCACGGAATGAAAGAACATATTCACTGATACATCTGATTAGGGGTTAATATCCAAAATTTATAAAGAACTTACAAAACTCAACACCAAAGAAACAATCCAAGTTAGAAATGGGCAAAGGACCTGATAGATAGGTCTCCAAAGAGGACATACAGATGACCAATGGACGTATGAAAAGATGTTCAACATCACTAATCATCAGAGAAATACAAACTAAAACCACAATGAGATATCACCTTACACCTGTCAGAATGGCCGCCATCAATAAATCAACAAACAAGAGTTGGGGAAGATGTGGAGAACAGGGAACCCTCGTGCACTGTTGGTGGGAATGCAGATTGGTGCAGCCACTCCGCAAAGTAGTATTGAGATTCCTCAAAAAATTAAAAATGGAACTGCCTTGCCCTGGCCGGTGTGGCTCAGTGGTTGATCATCGACCCATGCACCAAAGGGTTGCTGGTTCGATTTCCGATCAGGGCACATGCCCGGATTGCGGGCTCGATCCCCCGAGGGGGCCGTGCAGCAGGCAGCTGATGATGTTTCTCTCTTACATCGATGTGCAATTCCTGGAACACAGCAGGTGCCCAATACATTTATACCAAATGCATGAACTCTCATTGGAGCCTGAGATATGATATGAAAGAATGGTGTCATCACACCCATTTTGCTCACGGGTAGAGGGATCCCACGGTTTGAGCGCCAGCCTCAAAACCTGGTTTGTTGCTTCTCCTGTCCCCTCCTCCCTTCCCTAATGGGCGGAATCATCGGTGGACAGCTGCCAGGACAGCAGAGCGCCTGGGCCCCTGAAAGGGTCTGGGACCCCCGCCCTCGCCACCTGCTTCTTACCCCCAGAGCTCCCCGACCCACATCCGCCCATCAGGGAGGGCCAGCACGGGGGTGCCCCGCCCTCCTGCAAGGCCCCTCTGAGCCATCACAGGGCTCGTGGATGGAGCCACGTGAAAAAACTCATTTTAGCTGCAAAAACACGGAGAGCCCGTTTTGCCCAGCGATGCCTCTTCTGGAATGGAGCCCGAGGAAATATTCCAAAATGTGAGAAATGCCTTAGGCGCAAAAACCGCGCATTAGTTATAGTAGTGGGGTGAGTGGGCACAGAGTTCTGAGTGGCGACAATAAACAAGCGGAGGAGTGGGAATTGCACCGCCTTTGGAAGCTCCAGGTTTCTGGAGGAAGGGATCATAAATGCTATGACAAGCTGGACGAAGGAGGAACAAGATGGGAAGTGGGAGAGCTGAGGGTGACTGAGACAGGGCTGGGGAGGGGGCACCTCGACTCCACTGTCCACTCTTCCCAGTGTGTGGTTTGCGTAAGCCGTGCTGTGACTCACGGTTTCGAAGTCATTTCCTACCTCGGTAACACAAGTTGTTCTTGCAGCCACCTCCGTAGCTGGGCGGGCACTCAGAGCAGGGCCGGCCGGTTTTGTACGGGGCCTCTCCGATCCAGTTCCCCCTGAAGATGGACCAGAAACACTGTCAGGAGGGGCCGCCACCCGAGGGCCCGGGGTCACGCCTTTCCTGGCCCCACTCAGGGCTGCACACAGTCCCCGAGGGAGGAAGGCGGGACCCGTGTACAGGGAAGAGGGGCTGCCCTGGATACCCCTGAGCACTGAAAGTCTGAAGAATTCTAGAAGAGCCCTAAATGAGAGCTACATGTCCCCTCCCGTCACTTTAGTGTGTGCCCCAACACCACACTGGCCCCACATTCACCCCTGTTGCTCCCGTCACACAACTCTGAGCGCTGTCCGTCCCTACCCGGCCCCCATGCCTTTGTCCAGAATACTGCCAGGATCACCCTTTAAACCTTTCTTCAAGTGCAAAAGTCAGTGTGATCACGGAGTACCCCGTGTTTGGACCACATACCCAGCCCAGGTCACCCCACCCTTCCGACAACCCAGGAGGGACACACTGGAATTCAATCCTTTTTACACAGGAAGAAACTGGGGCTCAGAGAGACTCAGAGACTTGCCTGAGGTCACACAGCAAGATATGAACCCAGGGGACTCCGAGCATCTAACCACACTCGGCTGTTGGGGCTGGGACCAAGGTCCCTCTGGGCCTCCCGGGCACCGTCTGCAAGCTCCCAGGGCGGGAAAACTGGAGGAGACTCATTGAGATTTCTCCGGGGCCAGGTGGCAGGTGGTGAGTGGAGTTCCCAAGTCCTCCTCATAGCACCTAAGTCTTTGGCAACACAAACTAGAGCGGTGAGTGACCAGGGACCAATCTGTGATTTGTTCCAGAAACTTCCTTTGTGGTCACCCAGTCATCCATTTGTTCTCCCAGGACAGGGATTTGGGCCTCCTGCTGGGCCACGTTCGGCCCCCGCCTGCTCCAGATGCCCTAGGCTGGACGCCAGCCCTGCCAAGCTGGGTGACCCCGACTCTCCCCAGTCCTGAGCCCATCTGCTCTGTGATGGGGGTAACGACAGGAGGCCGGTGCAGGATGAAGTGAGTGGCTCGGCTCGGGTGAAGGCCACACGCTCTGAGCACTTCCTAAACCAGCAAGCGTGCCCAGGTGATGTTCTGACAGCTTTCCAGGGAGCCGGGGAGGGGCCCTGCTGGTGTTGGCCAGAAGACAAACTGCAAAAACATGCTCTCTGTTTAACCTCCGGTGGCTCAAAATAGCGGGATGGCATCACCCAGGGCTGTGCGGGCATCAGGCCTGGGGATGGAGGGCGGGGGCCACTATAATATGCTCATTGCTTTAGTCGTCACGCATCACGGATGACAAATGATAGTGTCCTAGCCATGCTACAGACCCCACTCAGCTGACCACCCCTGCTGGGACATGCCGGCTGGCTGGGGCCTCATGGCAGCCTTCGGAGTGACTCCCCCAAACAGCCCATCACCAGGCACACCAAGAGGGCCTCAGAGCCTGGTTCCACTCAGTAAGTTTCTTCGGACGATCAGACCCCCAGTTGGCTTCATCCTTCTCCCCCGCTGAGATCACCGGCTTATCCAGGGTTCCAGACTTCCTCGAAGACAGACCACACCTCTGATGCTCCAGGAGTGACAACACCCAGACTAGCGTTCATGGAGGGCTGGCTGGGCACCAGGCTCCGCGCCAGTGTCCTGTACACGGACAATCTCTTTACTCTTCTAACAGCCCCATGAAGTAAGTGTCCTCTCCTAGTGCACAGTGGCATGCAGTGCAAGACCCTCCACCCCCACCCTGCCCCACCCGACCTGAGCCCAGCACTACCCCAGGGCCCACCCTCTCGGCCACTCAAGGCCAGGGGCTCAGGCGTGTGAAGAGGCCGTGGAGCACTGAGCACACAGTACCACAGACGAGCTCAGACACGGTGCTGAGGGGAACTGGAAGGTAGGGAGAGATGTCGGAACAGCGGCCATTCTGGGGGGCATCTGGGGCACTGCAAGTATTCTCGATTTTGACCTGGGAGGTGGTTACATGGGTATGTATATACGTATGGACTGAATTTTGTATGTACCCCCAAATTCATACACTGAAGCCCTAACCCCCTTTGTGGCTATATGTGGAGATGGGACCTGTAAGGACGTAATAAAGGTTACATGTGGTCATAAGGGTAGGGCCCTGGACTGGATTAGTGTCTTTATCAGAAGAGACACCAATGAATGTGCACGCTCTCTCTCTCTCTCTCTACTCTCCTCTCCTCTCTCTCTCTCCCTCCGTCCCTCCCTCCCTCTCTCTCTCTCTCTCCCTCCCTCCCTCCCTCCCTCCCTCTCTCTCTCTCTCTCTCTCCTCTCCTCTCTCTCTCTCCCTCCCTCTCTCTCTTTCTCTCTCTCTCTGCAGCTCGCTAAAGTTTTGCACCTACATACCTACAATTGGTTGCCTTTTGACTGACCCCAACGAGGGCTGAGATTGAACCTGCAACCCAGGTAGGTATGTGCCCTTGACTGGGAATCAAACCCATAACCCTTCAGTCCACTGGCCGACACTCTAACCGCTGAGCCAAACCAGCCAAGGCCTCTAGTGTATTTTTTATATAAAAAGTCAAATCAAATTATTCCTCACTTCCCACCTGCCACTCTACCTGGAATTCCACCACTGTGGATCAGTTTATTGCTCCTCTGTGGGCGGCATCCCTCCCCATCAATGACATCATCCCCCTGATCCCCGAGGGCTGCCGAGACACCACCACCACCGGCATGCCAGATGGTGGATGGAAGAGCTACTGTCCTCCCAACCTCAGCGATTCCCCCGTCATCGCACCCAAGGACACTCCTGACCCAAACCAATAAATGAGGTCATTCCCGTTCATTCAGTGACTCAGCAAGTACACCTCAAGGGCTCACAGTGTGCAGGGCATGGTACTCGGATGGAGCCGGTGTGCCCACCACAGGCCGCAAACTGGGTGAGCAGTGCTCTGAGGACGAGCACATGTTTGTCTGATGAGTAAAGGAGGTAAAATGAGTCAAGGGATTAAATGACTGATGACATCAGGCTGTATAAAGAGGAAGAGAGGCTATGACATGAAGTCTTGATGTGAGGGGGAAATAGAAAGAAGCAAAAACTCAGTCTAAGGTGAATACCTGTTTTATAGAGTGCTATCTACTGCATATTTTCAGAGAAAAAAATAATAGTAATATCGCTATGGCAGACCCACTGGTTGCCCAGGCAACAGCTATTCTGCTTCTGATTTGTTCAGGTGGTCGCTGAAGAGACTTGCAAAGTCAAATGGAGCAATTCTATTGGTCAAAGCCAATTGGGGCAATCTTGTTCTAGCCAATGACATAGGGAGAAAGTGGGCCAGGGGTGAGAAAGACCTAAGGAGAGAGTTCTTTTCTACCATCCTCCTTCCTTCTGATTGGGAAGACATGATGCACAGTGTTTTGCAGCCATCTTGGGACCATGAGGAGAGGGTAGTCCTGGTTGACACTGCTAACCCGAATGCACCAACCTCTAGACTCCTTGTTATATGAAATAATGAAGGGACTTCGCTGTTGAAGACAGTTTTGGTTGGCTACTCCACAGCTGGCAAAAGCATCCCGACCCATATAACCATGTCAACTTGTTCTTACTTGGGAGAGTAATTGCAGACGAGGTAGACCGCATTCTCCCAAACATCTCCCCAGACGTTCATCCGCCGACAGGTGTTCACCGCACAGCCAACCTTGTTGGTGGTGGCCCAAACTATCTGAAAACATGACATCCATATGTCAGAACTCAAGGGGCCAGGTACACCCGGGAGACATAATCTGGCCCAGATCTATAGGGTGCTGGTTAAAGGGATATGTGGTGAAGAAATGAAGGGCCAGTGTTCTCCCTAGTCCACTGAAGATCTAAAATAAACAAAACAAAAACTCGGAACGAACACACCACACACAAGGAAAATGCCCCAGCGTGTAAAAGTGCCATAGACATTTCTAGCGCTTCCTCTCAGTATTCTACTTGTGAACCAGTCACAAACCACTTGGCCACCAGCTATACTTTGAATTGCATTGAATTAAAGAAAAATGAATTAAGGCAGTGACAGTAGAGGTGTTCTGACCGCGCAACAGTCCTGCAGGGCCACGTGAGTGACTGGGGTTGGGGATGGTGGGCTGAGATCAAGGCCCGCTCCTCCAGGGTTACCTGTGTGTAGTGGGTGCACATGGCCCCCGAGCACCTCTCTGGACACCAGGGGTTGCACTCATGGGGATAGGGGTAGGTGTAGTCCTTCACCTCGTCATACCAGGACTGGACGTGGAACCCAGGAGAGCGATACCTGCAGGGACAGATGAGCTTGTTACATTCCACCATCACATACTCAACAATGGAGACCACAGCACCGGTCACACCATCACCGGGGGAGGGGAGGTGGCCTGGAGGAGGGGCTCCTTCAGGGACAATAGTCCCAAATCCTGCCCAGCATCTGTTAAAAAGGCTTATAACCCAAATCAGCCAGGGGCCTATCTGGATGTCCCTGGAATCCTGCTGGGTTCTGGGAATGGCCCTTGGGGGGGTGGGGCACATGCCACCTGTGTGTTCCGGAAACTTTCACCTGGCCCCCAGTGAGCCATTTTTTTATGTTAAGAAGTCTGTATTTATTTTCATGTACTTTTGGGAAAATATATACAGCCCATGAACCCCATATTTCACAGATATTATTGCTAAAGACAAAACCTGATTTAAGACATTTAAAGTCTATGTAGAAAAAAATATTGAGTAAACAGTTGAACAGGGGATGCACAGATGGGACACCCACCACGGCAGGGGGGTGGTCTGGAAGCTGGGAAGTAGCTGGCTACAGGGGGCCAGGCAGATGGCCCCCAGCACCTGCTCACGGAGGCTCATGACCGGGGGACCCAAGGACTCTAATGCACGGCAGGAAACTCATTCGGGGCACAGGCGCCTGTCGGTGTGCAGAGCTCCAGGGTCAGTGTGCAAACCCTTTTGAAACTTCCTCTCTAGGATTTCGTACTGAGCCTCCTTCGCCCCAGCCATGAGGAGGGCCTGGGGTCATCACGGTTGGTGGCCACTGCCCCTCGCTTTGGCCCCATCCGCCAGGCTGGCACCAGATATTTTCTTAAGAAAGAAAATAAACTATGCAAATCCCAGGTCTCGGTGGCCAGTAGGTGTAAACAATGCGGTTTCAATAAAGAGAAAGGCGGCGAGGGGGACTGGCCATTGCTGTGGTGAGCCGGGCACTGAGGTCTTGTAACAATTACTGTCGGAACCCAGCGCGCCTGGCAGTGGTCAGTGACGCGGCCTGGGAAGCGACCTGCCTTCCTGGAGCCAGCCTGGGGAGAGAAACGCATGGCCCTGAGCTCCAGATGGGGGGACGCCCAACACCCCATCCGTCTCCTGGCCAGTGGGGGTCGCAGGGGCTTGCGAGTCAGGGGCTCTCTGGGGAAGCAAGTGCAGTGTATACCAGAAGGGGGAACACCCTGGTCTCCTTTGACCCATCAATCCCATTCCCCAGGGTTATCCTAATAAAATAATGCAAACGAGCCAACAACGACAACAACAAAGGAAGCTACAAGCATGGAATGGCTGAATTTGGGGCTGTCTACCCTAAGAGCCCATAGGCAGCCTTTATGAGATGATAACCATGACGACTACGTAGTAGGGAAATTGCTCGCTTTGTATGAGAAGGGGGAAAAAAATGAATTAAAAGCTGTCCTGGCCACAGTTACAACTACGTGAAAATATGCCAGCCTCCAGCCAAATGCTAACAGGAGCCCAGAAAATGAAAGGAGCTGAAGGAGGAGCGTGGGATGATGGATTTCTTCCCCTGTAGACATTTCGTTTAATGCTATCGTCGACGGGTTTTATAAAAAGCAGAATTCACCAGGGGAAAAAAATACCCTGCTGATATGCTGCCATGAAGTCATGTCTCTCTAGAGCCATCGGGACACCTGCCCAGGTTTTGTCCTGAAAAGGAACTGCCCTAAAGGGAGGTGTCCCTGCTTGTGGCCAGATTAAAGTCCAGAACTTCGAGAGCTGGGAAATGTCTGGGTGAACGTCAAGCAAGCCCTGACCTGGATTTTGAGGGGACAGTTCAAGTCCAGTCCAACTTTTCAATGAATACGACAAAATGAAAGGGACCCTGAGACCCTGGCACTGCCGGGTCCCAATTCAGAGGACTTGTGGGCACAGCACGGTGACCGTGGCTCAGTCAGTCTTAATTGGTCAAAAGACATTTTCTCCACTTTCTCTGATGAAACCAGCCCCCAGCCTGGAGGGGACTTTTAGCCGGGCTGGGTGCCTGCACATGTTGCCCAAATGACTTTGGGGAAGGCCAGGGAATGACATTTAACTGACCCTTGTCAAGTGCCTCCCATGGGCAAGGGGATGAGGGCACCGCCAGGCCAGGAGGCCCCGGAGGCCCAGAGTGTGAATGAGCCCCTCCGTGACCGGACGAGAGGGCAAGTGAGGGGCACCTGCCCACGAGGCGGAACCCGGCGGAACCCAGACATGCTGGGCCAGGGAAGACAGTCCTCACCCACCACGAAAGGAGCGGACATTCCCGTGCTGCCCGCTTGCCCAGCCAGCTCCTGCCTGGCCACCTACAACTGACTCCAGAACCCGTCCACCGAGACAAAATGGAAGGGCCACGCTCTAGAAACCGAGTCCAGTGATCAGTGTCTGGGGTCGGCCGCCAGACTCACGCCGTTTGCCAGTCACTCAGAAGTGTTCCTGGGGAGCCTCCATGTCCCCACCCGTAAATGACATGGGTCTCTCTCTCTCTCTTTCTCAGTGAGTGATCAGGAGGGCTAAATGCGATCATGGACAGCAAGCACCGAGCCCGGCATACAGTAGGTGCTCAGCCCTGGTGGCCAGTTCACAGGTAAGCGGGAGAACCACCACGACTCTTACCTGCCCCAGTGGACAGCCAGGTTCTGCCCAATGGACACCAGCAGACTGGTGGGCCCGTGTTCCCAGATGCACTCATGAGCCCACGCGGCCGCCGACCTCGCCAACTCTTCATCCCAGGTCTGCGGGGGGAGGAGAAACGGGCACCTTCAGAGTCGGGGATGGGTGTAAGAACCAAGAATGCTGTGGCTCCAGGTCAGCCCCGGCTCCTGCAGCGCTGGGCTGTGTCGCTCCGCTGTGCTAACTCGGCAAGTAGGAAGCGGCAGGTCGGCAAAGGGCTCAGAGGCGCCTGGCTCCAAGGCTGACCTGAGCTCCTGCTCCACCTCCAACTTGCCGGTGACCTTGGGTAAAGTCCCTTCTCCTCTGAGCCTCAGTCTCTTCATCTGTGAAATGGGAGGATGAAGAAGCCCTGGAGAAGGACGGTGGTGATGGTTGCACAACAATGTACATTTTTAAATGGTTAAAATGGTAGATTCTGTGTTATGCATCCTTTACCATTATTTTTGTTAAGTAGCAAGAAATGCCTTTCACCGTGCCCAGCCTTGCTCCTCTCTGGCAGTACGGCCCACCCTAAATCAGGGGGGCAGCAGCAGGGGTCTGGGCCGAAGACTCTGAAGACAGGCTCCACAGCCGTCCCTGCCTCCCAGCTGGCCCAGGGAGCACACGCAACTCCCCAGGAAAGAACAGAGAGAACGAAGCAAGCAGGGTCATTTCTCTGCAGAGGGACAGACGCCAAGCGGCCCTCTGACTGTGAACCGGCTGCCGCGATGCCCCCTCTCAGTCACTGGGCAGATGCTCCAGCGCACGGGCAGGCAGGGGCCGTCCCCTGCTCTGGGTAGCCCCGGCCCCTGGCACACCGAAAGGCTGTCTGGGCAGAGCCCTGGGACCTGTCCAGGAATAGAAGGCTGGTTAACCAACTGAGACCCCAGGTCGAAGTGCACGAGGCTACTGCTTCCCTCTCCTCCTGCCAAGACAACCAGCACTCCGCACCCGAGGCAAGTCTCGCCCTAGGACAGAGCCCCTGGGACCTGCTCCACTCCCCTGACCCACCTCCCAGTGAGCTGCACGGTCATTCCGGGTGCCTCCAGACTCATCCCTTGCCAATAGTGCCCACCTTCAGTGCCCACCAAGCCCTCAGCTGCTTCTGCCTGGGATCTCTCTCCAGAGTCCAAGCAAAGCCTGAACGGGGTGGGAGGTGAACACTCCCAGGGCCCACCCTCCACCAGTGGGGACAGGCCTGAGGGTGAATGCACCACCCCCTGCCTTCAGGCGGGCGAGCAGCCTGCCGCTCTCTTTACTCAGCAGGTCCTGGCAGATCCCATTCCCACCACGGGACCCCGTAGTGCACTCTGAATGTGGACTTCCTCCTCCCCGTCTTCCAGACTCCTGAGTCACCCCCAAATAGAACACCTGCAGCAAGTCAGTGATTTGTTGGTCTCCAAGCAGGGGGGAGGTGGGCAGCGGGGGCGAGGGAGCTGCACACCCACCAAGATCTGTCTGGAAGCAGCCAGCGCAGGCCCTTCCCAGTGTGCAGGGAGGCAGGGCAGAAGCTCACTATTTCCTCTGTGACAGGGTTCAAGAGCAATGTGAACCTTGCTGGCCGTTGGTCTGAGTCCATAACGTTTCCTACAGCTCAGACGGGAGGGGAGCAGGGAGGGCAAAGATCAAGTTGGGCAAAGAAGGCCAGGCCAGGCAGGATCTCCAGGGGTTAAAGCTTTGGACACTCTGGCTAGAGGCATGCAGACCTGATGTCTGGTCTCAACAGGACACGGCCAAATAAAACCCGGTCTCCTCTCCCTCTAACGGAGGCTGAGTATCCCCATCCGGGCCCACCCTCGCCTCCTGCCTCCTCTCAGCTCCAGCCCGCCACATAGTAGGACCTCAAGACAATGCTCCTCAGCCCTGGTCGGGTGGCTCAGTTGGTTGGAGCATCGTCCTGTACACCAAGAGGTTTTAGGTTCGATTCCCGGACAGGGCACCTACCTCGGTTTCAGGTTCGATCCCCAAGTCAGGGTGTGTATGGGAGGCACCCGATCAATGTTTCTCTCACATGATGTTTTTCTCTCTCTCTCTCTCCCTGTCAGTCTCTCTCTCTCTCAAATCAACAGAAACATATCCTCGGGTGAGGACAAAAAACAAAACAAAACAAAAAACAAACATCACACACTGTTCCCCAAACACAGGGATGCAGGGCTGGCGGTCACGGGTGTGGCTCTTTGGTGAGCTGTTTACAACCGATCAGTGTCCTTTCCACAGTGTCTCAGCTGTCACCAGAATACTGCGAGCATAAATAAATGAATGAATGCACGCACGAGGGAACACACACACAATGAAGCCACGCCGACTCACGCCAGCCCTCAGCGCCTCCCCCACCCCCCGCCCCCCGCCCCCACCCTCCCACTGAGCCTGCACTTCGCCAGCTGAATGCCCTCCAACTACCGCTGAAGGAAAGGCACAGGTGCACCTTCTTTACCCCTCCACGGGACGGCTCGAAGAGAAGGAAAAGAATAGGGTAGTGAGAGGGCTGGCGAGAGCCTTTGTGTTAGGGATCCTGGGTATGACTCCAGGCTCCGCCCTTGCTGGCTGTGTGACTTTGGGCAAATGGCTTCACCTCTCTGCGACGTGTGCCCCTATCTCCGAGTGGGATAATGGTACCTGCCGGATACCATTAGGAGGTGGGGGAAGGATGAAGGAGGGCAGGCATCCAGGCGAGAGGCCAGTAGCCATCAGTGAACAGTACCCACATTAGCATTCCCAAGCACCTCCTATGTAACAGGGGCAGTGTTGGGCCCGTACCTCTGGAGCTGCCCTTGTCTGAGCTCCTGACACTGGCCAGAGAACATCAGCACCATTTTCGTTTTAAATCGCCACAGTAGCCCCTGAGGTATGTTTTACTTTTCCATGGTTGCAGACAAATAAACACTTGAGGCCAAGAGAGGTTAAGTAACTTGCCTAAGGTCACACAGCCAGGAAGGGAGAACTTCAACAACCCAGGCTTATCTGGCTTCCAAGGGGTGTCATCCTGTCTGCATGCTGTCACCAAGGGCTGGTCCCACTCTACAGAACTAATAACAGCTACTAAAGTAAGAGTAGCAGCAGTATGGTTACCATTTACTTAGCACTTATCATGCATTGTCTCATTGACTTCTCCGAAGAACCCTGCCAGAAAGGTACTTTTATTGTCACCACTGTGCCAGCGAGGAAAGATAAACAGAGAGGCTAAGTAACCTGCCCGAAGTCACACAGCAATGCCCTGAAGGCTCAGTTGCCCTGACAGGCAGGCTATTGAGACCTAAGGACCCAGATCCCAACTCCAATCCTGAAATATCTCGAAGTCAACAAAGAGGAAAACACAGCAGGCTCGTCCCAGGCTGTCCAGGAGCCTGACCTTGCCTGCTGCCCAGCCAGGCTCCCCTCACGTGCCCCAAATCTTCATACAACCACTAACCAAGTTCAGTGCTGCCAGGAAAAGACCAACAGAAACCCAGCCTGTTCTGACAGCGGTGGCAGGCAGCCAGGATCCCAGGGGCTGGGGCTCCGTAAGCTTCAGGCCCTGGTGGGCACCACTCCGGGCCTGGGGTGGGAAGGGCACAGGGGGCAGGGGGCCTGTGCAGAGAGAGGTACAGAGTGTTCCTTGCCCATGGGGACCAAGGCCAAAGCAACAGGTCCAAGGGAGGACGGGAAAGGAGTCTGTCTCCAGAGCCCCAAAGACGTCTACCCTAATTTCCTACGTCTGTGACCCTACGAAGGTCTCACAGGCTGCCCCATGCATCTTGAAAGGGTGCCCGTTCTTCCTCCTAAAATTAGCACGGCCCCTTTGGAATAAATGCCCGGATGATTTTCTCAAGGGAAATAAGGAATGTTTCATAAGGAATTCCCAAAGCCTTGCTCGCAGGGCTCGGCCCAGACCAGTGACCCACTCATCTGCCCACCAGCTGGGGATGGGCCCCCCAGTGTGGGCACAGACAGGGACAGTAAGGGGCTCACAGGCACACGGGATGGTCCCCAACCACGAGCGCCACCCATGTCAGGGCACAAGGCAACATGAGAAGCAGCCGCTGAGTCCAGGGGAAGGCGGGAGTGAAGCGGGGGGGGGTGGGGGGGGTTGGGGGAGCGGGGAGGAGCCGGCGGAAGAAAGCCATCCCGAAGGATTCTCCGGGAGGGAGGCGTCGGGCTGTCCCACACATGGCATCGGCATCAGCAGAGGACACCCAGCGGACCTCTCTGACCAAAGAGGAGGGAGGGAAATAGGTCATCAAGAGAGACAGGGCTACAAAATAATACTGAATGGAAACTGTAATTGAAGAATAAAATAACAGATAGACAGGGCTCCCGATGGCAGCCCTGGATGCCAGGCAGGAAGCATCCAGGCTTCGTCCTGGGCACCGAGGGCCCCAGGGCTGAGGCTGTCCCCTCGGTCAAGGGCAGACAGCACAGGATGGGGGGCGGGGTGAAAACGCACAGTAACTGGTGTGGGGTGCTTGATGGGATAGAGCGGAGGCTGAGAGCATGGTCCGGGAGTCAGCTGGACTCGGGCTCGAACCTGACCCTGCCGCTGCCAGCTGTGTGACCCTGGGCCTCAGTTTCCTAATCCATCAAATGGGAAAAGTCAGCCTATTTCCCAGGGCTGGGGAACGGGAGGTGGTGCGGACCAGGATGGAACCGCGGGAGTGGGGGGGGGGGGGGCTGGACGTGGGAGAGCCGGCCGCCCCTTCTGCCCCTAAGTGTGGGATTTTTCCACATTCAGGGGGGATTCCCCTACGCTGTCCCTTCTCCTTCCCGACAGACACCTGTCTCACAGACTCTCTTCTCGGACAGAGCAGGTGCCATTGAAGGGCTGGATGAGGGACAAGCTGGCCCAGTAGTCACACCACAGCCCCAGGTGTGAGGTCTGTGCTCGATGAAACAGGAACCATGCTCAAAGTGGAAACTGAGGCTGAGACAGGCTGACATCCAGGTCACACAGCTAGAAGGTGGCAGAGCTTGGTCTGAACCCACCAGCGCCCAGCCGAGACCCTGCCTACTCTGCCTTCCCCGGGGGGGGGGGGGCGCAGGGCGGGACAGGGGCTGAGCTCCAGAGAGGTGACAGAGGGCTGGCCACGAGGCAGCCTCTGCTGGGGAGCTCACGTCCTGCTGTTTTAGCGGGGCGTCAAGAACAGAGGCAGGGGACCTCTGCTGCCCAAGACCCAAGCCGGCCACACACCCAGTGACTGGGGACAGCACAGACGGAGCCCAGGCCCCGGGCACAGGGGGCGTGCCGGCACTCACCATGTACTCCATGTTGGAGGCAGGGGGGTACACCTGGCCCCGCAGTTTATTGTGAAGCATGAGGATCTCCTCCTGGTCCGACCTCGGGATGGCCCTGCGGACCCGGGAGTGGGGCTCGTCCTGCTGGTATTTGCTGAGCAGCTTCTCTAAGTGTGTGACGTTGGGCAGGAAAAGGCCTTGGGCTCCACACATCAGCAGCACCAGCCCCAAGGGGACGAGGCCGTTCCCGATGCTGCTCATGGCTCCTCTCCAGGCAAGAACTGGGGTGACGGGGCAGCTCCTGAGGCAGACGGGGTGCTTGAGCTCTGAGAGGAAGCAGAGGGTGGCGGGAGGGAAAGGTGGTCAGTAGCGAACCAGCTACCGCTCTGGCTTGAGCAGTGAACGGAGTGGGACGTATTCCCCCCACTCTGCAGATGTGGAAACTGAGGCTCCCAGGAGCTAAATAACCAAGGTCCCACAGACAGGAAGCGGCGGAGCTGGGACTCAAGCAGAGGGTGTCCAGCGAGGCGAGCTGCCCGGACTCCACATGGGGCGTCCTGGCTCTGTCTCTCCCGGACCCGAGTGCTCCCCTCACCACCTCTCCTAACTCCGAGTCCGCATCCTACTCATTCAGGACTCGGGGGTCTACAGCCCAAGTTAAGTTCTGTCTCCTGCTCCCAACAGACTGATAAGGTCATCTCATATCACCAAAGGATTTGCCCTGAACCAATGTGAGTAGCAACCTTCCTGGTCCCCTGAAGAAAGACTCAGTTTACCAAATGTGGTTGATAGGCATCCCCAGACCCCCCAGGGCACAAGGCTCCTCTTAGCACGGCCCTTCCACTGGCACCCCTCCACAGTCGTCACACACTCCAACATGTCACCCAGCCCCAGCCCCAGCCCCACCCAGGGACCCAACTGCATGCTCTGCCAAGCAAGTCACCTGTCGACTTGGTCCTCGGAGGAAGTGGCAGAGGAAAGAGGGAGGACCTCCAAGGGGTGCCGAGTACCCCACTCTCATCCCCGCACCTGCCTGGCAAACCTGCTCAACCACCGAGCAGGGGACCTCCCTTCCCCAGCTGCTGTCTGGCAATGAGCCTGCGCCAGACACCGCCAGGCACACCCTTCGGCTGCTGGGTTAGTGGCTCAGACGGGTCATCGGTACCCAACGAACACATCAGGATGGAGCCTGTTGGTGGACAAAACCAAGAGCAGCGCAAGGGGCAGGGGAGGGCGGGCTGGGACTCCCAGACCTCCGCAGCCCCAGCTCGGAGCTGCGCTTCCCGGAGCACTATCCTGGAACCCTGGCTCCGATCACTGTCGGGGGCTGTGGGGCTCTGGGGGCACACCAGTTGGGACGCCCCCTCTCAGAGATCCATGGCACCTACTGGCTGCGGGAAATAACGCTCTCTCGCTTTTATTACCCATCAAGCATCCTGACGGTCCTTCCTTGCCTTTGGGCTACAAGTCCTTTCCCCAAATAACCCTCTTGCTAACTTTCTTCCTGGGCACTCATCTTAGGAAGAGCTGTCTTAATCCTTGACTATACCTACTCACTTTAACATTCCAAGATTCGATTTTACTCGGTGAATTTCCACTGTGCCTTTTGTTGCTCCTAAAATGCCTTCCTGAGCATCCACGCGGGCTGGTCACTTCATTTCCAATCCCAGGACAACCTAGGAGGGGGGTCTGTCATCGTTCCCATTTTACAGGTGAGGAAGCTGAGGCCCAGAGCGGTGACTCGACGAGCCCAAGGCTGCTGTCCTGGTCAGGACAAACGCTGAGACTTGAACCCAGGCGAGATGACTCTGAGGGTCCAGGATTTTCCCTCGTATGCTACCCTGGCTCCTCTCTCCCTGGAGGCTGGGGCCTCACCTCCACTACCAAGCTATACACTTTGGTCTTTCTCCTGGCTGTCACCTGGTCCAGAACGACAAGGCAGGGCTTGAGTGGGTGTGTTCATCTATGTCTCTCACTAATGCTCTACCCCCCGGAGAGAGTCAGCCAGCCACCTGATGACCTTCATTAGGCACCTCTTTTGTTCCAGATCCTGGGACATGAAGATGAAGAGGACACTGTCCCTGGCCTCAAGGAGCTCCCAGCTGGGCTGGGGAGACAGGTGAGGAGACACAGCCACCACCCAGTGGGACAGGGCTGACTTAAGACATCACAGGGAGCTGGAGGACCGGGCTTCCTGGTGGGAAGGGCGACAGCCATGCCTCAGTATTGACCCACTTGGGACCCTGAGAGCCCTTTCAACAGGGCTCTGAGACCAGGTGCTCACCGGGCGAGCTGGCTGGGACCGAAGGATGGCAGCCATGGGAGGGCATCCTCAGGGGCAAGACACAGAGTGCGGCAGGGAGGGTGCGCGCCAAGCCTTACCGGCAGGACCGGGAGTCCCAGGAGGCAGAGCAGAGGCAGGAGCTATGGGAAAGAGGCAGTTCCCATCTCTGACTCTGGAAACTCTCCAGGGTCCTGACCGAGCCCGAGCTTCAGATAAAAATAACCGCCATCCAGAGGGGAGCCCTGGCTCTCTCTGGCGTGAGCCAAAAGTGGCCTCCCTCCTCAGAGTTCCCTTTGGACCAGCGCCCCAGGGACTGCGGGGAGGACTTCTGCGTGCTCACTTGTCCCCTGGGACTCCAACCAGCGATGCAGAACCTCTCGGGGTCCCTGCTGTCTCTCTCAGGCTAGTCACACCACCATGTATGACCATTTCCCAGCTGCAGAAGGCCAGGCTACAGAGATGCCCAAACACACTGACGCTGCATTCGTACTCGAGACGGAGTGACAGTGGGGACTGACATCACGAGGCGTCCACTCTGGCATCACAACAACACTCGACTTGCTTTACTCTGTGCTAACGTAGCTGGAAGGGCAGGGCACCCGCAAAGACACAAAGCAGGAAATGCTTATGTAACAGCTGTGGCGCAACTAGACTAAAACCTGGGTTTGGTTTAAACTGCCAGTGGGCACAACTCAAACGGCAATCAGTAGGAGTGATCAGTGAATAAACTGTGGGGTAGTCATGGGGTGGAATATTATACAGCAGGTAAAAGGAATGAGCTAGAGCCATGTGAGTGCCAGCATAAATAAAACTCAAGTACCATGTTGGGTTAAAAAAGCAAGTTGTAGAATATTATGCTGACTGTACTATTTATGTAAATTTTAAAACATAAATCATATTTTGGCTATACATGTATGTGTGCATATAAACATCTATATATACACATTTGTACATTTGTGTTTGTGCACATGTATGTATATGGGTGTGTGTGAGTGCATGCGTGTGCACACATGTGTGTGTGCATGTGTGTGTGTGTGTGTGTGCGTGCGTGCGTGCGTGTGTGTGTGTTTGTATGGTAAAACCAGGACTGAATCAGACCAGGTTCATGGTGGTGGTTGACTCCAGGGTAAGGGCAATGGACCTGGGAAGGAGAAGGTGAGGGCTTCATCTTTACCTTTAATACGTTATTTCTACTTTCAAACCTCAAGGAAATACGAAGCGTCAGCCTCTGTTCACTTGGGGCGGACAGGCTAGGCTGGCAGAGACTGCCACGTGGTAACCAAAGCGGTGCCCTCCAGGACTGGAGCTCACCAGTTTACACGTCCCATCCTTTGGACCTGGCTACGTGAAAACAAAGCAAAATGCCGACACGGGACCGGGCAAGGAAACAATGCGGGGCCCCAGTGCACCCTCCTGCGTGTTCCTCGGAACACGCGTGACCTTATTCCCAAAGACTCAGAGCCACCTTCCCTTGGAGTGTGGAAGGGCCCCCGGCACTGCGGGGCCCACAGATGGCCCTTCCTCGAAGGTCCACAGAGAACGGTAAAGCCTCCGGGGGAGTCTTAGAGTTGGGAGAACCATGGGGTTTCCTGGAAGCTTCCCACTGGAAGGAAACACAAGTGAAAGGAGGGAGGAGGAAGGTGCCCTCAAGCCTTCCGTGCTCTGCCCCAGTCGCTGGCCTGGGAAACCCAGACTTGCCCTGGTTCTGCCATTCTCGGCCCCGTGCCGGGCGGCCTGTCCAGCATACTGTTGGGTCTGAAAGCGGGTGGCCTGACGGGGGCTCGAGGTGCCTGCGGCCCGTGCTGGGGAGGGGCAAGGCCCGGATCTCGACGCTCCTGCTAAGTCTGGGCAGCAGAACACGGAGATTTCAGCGGAGTTGTGGCGGTAGCGGGGCTGGCCCTCACTCGGTCTGCATTCCCAGAGCCCGGCATGGTCCTGGTGCAGGGCAACCAGCACAGGGTTCGGGGCTGGGCTGTGTCTCTCCTAAACTCATATGGGGAAGCCCCAACCCCCAGCATCTCCGAATGTGACTGTATTTGGAGATCGGGCCTTTAAAGATGTGATTAAGTTAAATGAGGTCATCAGGGTGGGCCCTAAGCCAATACAACTGGTGTCCTTATAAGAAGAGATTAAGACACAGGCACGCACAGAAGGAAGACCATGTGAGGACACAGGCAGAAGGTGGTTGTCTACACCCCAAGGAGGGAGGCCTCAGAAGAACAGCCCTGCTGACACCTTGATTTCAGACTTCCGGCCTCCAGAAGTGTGAGGCAATACAAGTCTATTCTTTGACCCCCACCCCACCCCCACCTGCGGTCCTTGGTATGGAAGCCCTGCCACACTGGTATGTACATCAGCTGAGTGGATACGTGGGATCGTGTTCCAGCATCCCCTGGCCACTCTGTGGAAGGAGGCAAGATGGGAACAGGGAGGCAGATTCGGAGGCCGAGGCGAGGAACCTGCCGTGACAGCCAGCCCACTACATGGGCAATGCCAGCACCTTTGGCCTGTTCCGACCACTCACCCCCTGCTGCCCAAACAGCTCAATCAGAACTTAGGGCCAAAGCACTTCAGTCCCTTTTCCATTTACAATTAAAAAGACAAAACAATTTTTTCCAAATGAGACATACACGCTGTCCAAGACTGCCTGGAGCGTTCCAATGACAAGGACATGCTCCTCCCGGGGAGGCTGGCAGGGGGCTAACGCCAAGGGAGACCTACTGTGTGCCAGATGGTTCATTTCTCAATTCACCTCCCAGTGACTCAGAGGTTTGGGTTCCACCACCCCATTTTACAGATGAGGAGACTGAGGCCTCTGGTGTTTAAGGAATCCACCCAAGATCATACAATTAGCCAGCAGAAAACGTGGGTTGGAATGCAGCTCCATCTGACCTCAGAGTCCTTTCTCACTGCCACCCCATGGACTTCCTGTCACCACCCCTACCGAGGAGGGGCCCCCAACAACCCCATCTCCCTCTGCAATCCTCTTTGCCCTCCTCTGGGCAGACTGCTGGGCTCGGTGGAGCTGAGGCACTGGCCCCC